TTGGAGGACAGATCATCCCACCCTGTTATGGAGCCTTGCTTTACTCCCTTGGAGATCCACGCTTGCGCGACCCCCTTGAGAGTGGTTGGGAAATATTTGCACCAAGTCGCTTCGGATCTGGGGCAAAGATGCATATGAGTCTCATACGAGGCCACGTGATCCTTCGGATCCGAGGTCCCGTCATATGTGATGTGCGACGGTATTTTAACCGTGGGCACGTGCTCTTCCAGTATCCATTGCTCGAATGGCGAACTGGCGGGTAGCATAACGGCCTTGCCCTTGATCCTGGCCGAAGGGACCGCGCTCCGCCCTCTTAGAGAGGTAGGAGTGGTTTTCGTCCCTGGCTGGGAAGTCTGGGCCTCGGCCGCAGGGAACGAGAGGCGACTGTGCACGCTCGGTTCCTTGCCGCCGAGTCGGTCGAGGACGCTTCGACGAACAGTCTCAGGTCGTTCTCGGTGAGTAGATTCTGGCCGAGAAGCTGAGCTGCTGCTCTTATGTGTTTCTGGTCGGGAGGATGAGGATCCTTTTAAAAATTGAGGGTTCTTTTTCCTCTCTTTTTCATTTTTCCAGGTATCCTCTTCCCACTCTTCCAGTTCCCGGAAGGAAGGAAGCTTCCCACCATCATGGTCTAGCTTCCTCCGCTGATGTCGGGTATGCGGAGGAGTTCGATCACGAGGTGGTGGCATATTTTGTGCCCTCATCGCCTCCATGAGCACTGCCAGCGCTCTTGCCACCTCCTCCGAGTTGGGCCCCGTCAAAGGGGTCCTCGACCGAGTATGGGAATGAGGGCGCACAGTCAATGGTTGGCTTTGGGGCACTGAATGTGTCCTATGATCGGACTCACCCCTGCTAGACCGAGAGTGACTCGGCCTATGATGAGAGTCATGAATTACGGGAGAAAGGGAATCCTCCCTGTATGATCCTCCCCCCGAGCTGGCACCCTTGGGAGAGTTCCGGTCCGGCGAGGGTGATGGTGTAGGGGTTTTAGGCTTTTCGCCCGCTCCTTGACGGAGGCCTTTGCTCTTGCGGTTCTTAGCCATTGCTACTAAGATAATTGCAAGATGATCTTCGTTAGAAATTTGGCTTAAAGATTTTTGAAAGTCTTCCCCACAGACGGCGCCAAATTGTTTCGGGTGAAAACAATGGGACCTTGCCGAAGGTCCGATGAAGTGGTGAAGACTAGATTCGATCCAAGAAATGTTGGGCCGAAGGTTTCCTGCACAGTAAACACACGTAAACTAGCCTCGGGGGTGTTGCCGAGGAAGGCCCCTCCGATGCTAAAGTCAGTACAGTGCGTAGAAAGAGAACACTATGCAAGAGAATTAATTGCTTGAGGCTTTGCTTGAATGAATGTACAAATGTAATATTGATGGCTTTTATACCTCTTCATACATGGAGAAGTTGGGCCTTAGCCCAATTGGCTTGCCTTGAGGACTGATCTTTGACTTTAGCACAATTGGAGAGATGAACCTTGACCTTGGGCTTTTAATTGGATCATTTAATGCCTAAGCCCAATTGGACTAAATTGGACCCAAACACTTTTGTTGGTGTTTGGGTGATTAAATTGGTGAATTGAATTACCCTTTTAAAGTTAAGGTATGATGATCTTTTTGTCTTTTGTTACTGGTTGGGTAATTTAATTGGTGAATTGAATTGTGGGTATTTTTAAATTTTGATTTAGGATTTATTGGGTATAATTAAGTGATGGGTGTTAGACTGTTAATCAGTGTTTAGTTTAGCTGAAATATGGAATTGAATGATTATTACAAATGACTTTTGTATTAATTAAATTGGATGATCATTATAAATTTAAATGATTTCTGTTACTGATGTTAATTCATGAGAAAGCTGACGAGTGATGAATTGTTCGACTATAATGCAATTTTGATTGAAGTGTTGGTTAAATGTGTCTGTTGTCATTGAGTTGTTAAAGAAGATTCGATTTTGGGAATATTGGATGTGAAGATCATTGTGAAATACTTAGACATGAGGGTCAATTTTTTGGATTGGAGAAGTGGATTGAAAGATGCTAATTTGGTGTTATGGGAATTGGGTTTACTGATTCCGATAGGGAGGATAGTCGTGAGCTCGTGACTGCATGAGAGTGTGATGTTGAGGGAAAGCTAGAAGAAATTTTTATAAAGGGACAAAGAAAGAGAGGGTGGAGGTGTAGTGATAGACTGTAAGACTCGTAAATGTGGATAATGTACTTGTAAAGTTGTAATCATCTGGCCTATGATTGGATACCAGTAAAGCAAACTGGATTGACATGGAGTAATTTTCAAAATGCCATGCCATAGATGTAAATGATAATATGATATATCCTAGGAAATCAGGAAGTTTTTTCTAGTCTTTTCTTTTTTTGGTCCTGGATATTGTAGGTTGCTGCTATTGGTAGAAGAAAATGGAAAGACTGGGAAGTAGGGTGTCGGATGTATATTGGACGAATATTTTGAAGGTTTATCTACTCTATGATGTTGGTTGTCAGCAAAAAAGTACTGATTAGGACAGTATCTAACTATCTACCTCAAAATGATGTGATTTTTAGTATTGCCTCGTTGAGAGAGAATTAAGAGAAATTCTTTGGTTTTATTTTCTATAGAAACTTGCTTTACTCTGTCACCTCTGTTATTTTTTAGAAATTGCTGAAAATCATTACCAGAGCATATTATCGAGAAAGACTAAGCAGAGTATTGGTTCATTGGTGAACTAAATAGTCGGGAAGGATGAAGGCCTCCATACGAAGTGAAATTACCACTCTATTCTCCCTCTCTCAGTTCATGTTCCCGGATATAATAGGGCAGACTCATGTTCCTGCATATTTTGATTGGCACTCCTAACAAAACGTCAAAACCCAATTATGGAAAATAAGGGTATTGTGTAGTTACTTTAAATCTGGTGGGGGCTTCGGTCCTGGTCTGTTGCTTTTGGCATTGATTAGTTTAGAGTTGTGTATATACAGGCGTAGACCAAAGAGGTTATTGTGTCAATTTTGATCATCTCATACGTCAGTAAAATTTCCATTCTCCCTCTCTCTTTGTTTCCTCTCACCTTCATTGAACCTCATTACATCTTATTTATAAAGATCCCTAAATATGCCTCTTTACCTTCACCTGCATTAGCTATTTTTTGCAGGTCTGAGGGTTTGATCCAGACACATCGGCTTGGCCTTAGGCTACCTCTTTGGAATATTCTTTGCTTACATGTTCATTCCTAATTCTTCTTTCCCCCTATTTATTTGTAACCGTCATCCACTAATTCATCCCTCGTATTTTATTTTTTTTTAATTTTTTTTTTCCCCACTTTTCAGCACAATGTAACTTAAGTTATAAGTATCTTATATTAGTCAGTTGAAAGGAATGGTGGATCATACTTCTGGAATTATTGTCAGTCATGAAAACATATAAGATTTAAGAAACTTGGATATAACATTCAAACCAACTGTGTAATATTCTCTAACTACGTTGCAGGTTTCCATTGAGTATGGGTTGTGTGAGATGCTGTGTAGAGAAGCTATAAGACCTGAATATGCACCTAAAGATGGTGTTTTTCGCTTTAACATTTCCGAGCTTGAAGCTATGTTACCTGCTGGAACTGTAGATCATACTGTTGAAAGAATTTATCAAGAGGTAACAATACCAGTTTTCTTTACTATGGAATGATACTAGTAAATGCACACTCCGTATTATGTAAATACACATAATTTTGTCCTCAGCTGAATCCTCTTCTGGTTCAAATATAGATGCCACGATGGCAAGAAACAGTTTTTGGTTCTAGGAGCAGATACGAGCATGTCATCCAGGCACTTGCAGATAAATACCCTAGAGAAAAATTGTTGCTAGTTACACATGGTAAGCTTTATTTGTTGCATTTTTATTTTGAATTTATGTGAATTTAAATGGCATACCGTAAAAGGTTATGTTGTTACTAAAATTTGACCATTGCCGTGAACAAGCTACTAATGCAATGTGGTATAAAGTGTAACAAATTGAACCAGAAGATGTTTCATAGTGTTGAACATACTCTTTCCGGGACTTGTATGAGTAAACAGCTTCCTTACTGTTTTGTATTACTGTATTGCTCTTTCTCATTGTTCGCGCCTAGTATGATATGTCCCTGGTCTTCCAATAATACGAGGGCCCGGGTGATCTTAGGTAGAGCACATAGTGAGCTAGGATGATTGCACCTTTTCTGGTTTAAGGGTGAAATGAAGAGAGTTGGAGGGTGCCTGGTGGCTGGTGTAATTGACATGCTTCCTTACAGATCTTTTTCATAATTGACAGTCATTTTCTTTGACTTGCTGAAATCTTCACTCATGCATAATTGCATGCATTTGAAGAATAATTTTACCACTTGACTTATTTTTTTGTTGATATGCAGGGGAAGGTGTTGGAACATCAATTTCAACATTTAAGAGAGATGTTACGGTTTATCAAGTAGACTATTGTGCTTACTCACACGCAAGAAGACGCATCACCTTTGGAGAAAATGGATCAGTTACTGCTGGAAGCTTTCAGTTGCTCACTGAACCACTCGTAACTGGTATTGGTTACACGCCATCAAATAGTTTGGTTGATGGTGTATGAGCCCAACGTTAGGACCCAGGGTGCTATGATTTATGAATAATTGTTTGCTACTACATTCAGTCGGGTATACGGAAGACTTGAGCCATTCTTTGTCATCTATAGCTTGTTATATTATTTTCAACAAAGCTTCAGATTACCAGATGTACAAGATGTTGGTCTGAAGCATCATTGTACAAAACATTGAGATTAAAAGTTTACACGAGCAATTTGTTTCATCTTCTTTCTTCACCCTCAACACTTAGTTAAAATGAGTTCTTCAAAGTCTCGATCATAACCAATTTAGAATTAAAATCATCTTAACTAGATAAAGAGAGTTCATAAATCAGATGCAAATATATAGCATCGAAGTAGATGAATCTGAGTACAAGATAAGTCAGAACATAAGTTACAGGTTAGCTGATCAGATGATCCTATCTACCAGCGAGGAGGGCTTGGTAATGGCTCTATCTCATCAAACACATCTGATGGGAAGTCATCAAAAAAGCTGTCAGGAGCTGCATGGTTGTCCTCCCGCTTTACTCTTGTTTCACCATTCATACCACCTCCACCAAAGCATGAAAAAAGGTGAACCCCATCATTGATGAGAGCAGGCTCATTTATGTATCCAAAGGGTGCAAAAAAGCTATAATCGAGCCTATCAATGAGCTCCTGTGTTTCTGGAAGGAATGGAAAGTCTGTTTGGAAGGGTGGAATCGAGGGAAAGGAAGGCATTTCTAGTAGTTGCAAGTCTGTATGGTTGTAGTATGTGTTCAAGGGGATTGGATCAAGACAAGTTGCGTTGTTAGCTTCAAAACACGGACAACTGTGGTCAATTGAACCAGGAAACGGTATCAGTTCCATACTATTCTTGCCTTTGCTGCTGTTAGAAGACGAGTTAAGAGATTGTGCTTTGGAGGATGATTCTCCCTCCATTGAAGAATTCTTAGAGACCTGAGAATCAGAAGAAAATCAATTCTTTAATACATGTGAATAACTTCAATAAATTAACATGAAGTGGTTGTTTGATAGAACAACTCTGTCATACTCAAACATCATTAGAGTAACTACTCTATATATTTACATAAAATCCATAATTTACAAATGAATTATGAAAAATTGACAAAACTATTTAACACCATCATATGATTATTCAAACAACACTAAACGTATAAACAATCAATATTAAACACGAACTTACAAAGTAATTTACCATAATATCATTTAAATACTCAAATAGATTATGTCAAATTAAGTTCAATTCTACTATCAAGTTCATCCTCTTTCCACCACTCCACTTAAATTAAAAATATGTTCGATCAATATCAATACCAAACATTCTAAAATGTTTACCTCGCGAAAGTGAGGACGATCCTTGGAAGTAGAAGCAGAAGATTTGTGCTTCTTTTTAATACGAGTAGGAGATTGAGAGTGCAAAAGCCTAGCCAATCTCTTTTGCCTGCTACTCCAGAAATTCTTGACATCATTATCAGTTCTTCCTGCCATATATGTCGCAATTTTCGCCCATTTATTCCCGAATTCTCCCTGCAATTCTATCACCATTCTTTCTTCTTCTGTTGTAAACTTGCACCCACTTTTTTTTTTTTTAAAAAAAAAAAAAAAAACGATCAGAAATTATGGAACACATACCCATCAGAGATTACACCAAAATTAATTCGAACCCATTTTTAATTGATCAATTTAATAATTATTACAAGAAATTAACAAGTTTTTGAGACTGGAATTTGGATAGTGGATGAAAAGTAACTGAAAACAAACTTACTAATTTCTGAAATACTAATATTTAACATTATACAGTAAAAAATTACTTTTTTCTCTAATGAATCACCATTCAAACTTCTTTTAAAATATTTAACTCAAACAAAATATCGAAACAACTGTATGAACAATATGAGTATGGGAAACTGTACGTGTAGAAAATTATGGAATCCACTACACGAACTCATAATATTACCCTGAACACAAACTTGTACGTTCATAACATTGAGACATTTAAAAGGACATACATGTCGTTACACTAAATTCAAACTAAAAAGGAATAAAATAGAAAGCATACATACTTTTTTAAGTTGGGACGAAGTTTATTAACCCAACGAAGACGACACGATTTGCCAGTACGTTGAAGAAGACCTTTGGATCGAATGGAGCTCCAGTCACGAGGACCATAATTCTTAACATGGTTGATTAAAACTTGATCTTCTTCGGGTTTCCACGGCCCTTTCCTAATCATTACTCCTAAACCACCTTCAATTGTATTATTAATACTATTGTTACTACTACTGTTATTGTTGTTGTAGTAATAGTATTTCTTGGATTTGCCGTGATTATTATTGAAATTAGTACACTTCTCCATTTTGTTGGAGTATCTATTTGAGAGAAGATAATTGAAATTGAGAAAATGGAAAGTGACGGTTAAAGTGTTGGTTAATGACTTTATGAGAGGGTGTAATTGTTGTCCCACACTCCCACATTCCCCTATTTTTTCGCTTCTCTTCAACCCTCATTTGAGTCATTTTTATTTTCTATTGGTTATATATTCTTGGATTCTTTTTTTTTTTCTTTTTTTTTTCCAACTTTTTAAATTAACTAGTCTTAAACCCGTACAATGCACCGTGGTTTAATGTATTATAATAATTGTTTTTGCATTTGTATAATTGTATTTTTGCCTAGTATTTCAATTTCATATAAAAATAGTAGAAAATATTTTAATAATAGTGTTAAATTCATAAATCCACTAGTTGCGAAATGAAACAAAACCAAAATTCTAAAACCCACTGGTTGCGAAATGAAACAAAACTATATGTGATTAAACTAATATGAGAAATGTTTGTTTCATATTGTTATCGAATTTAATTGAACATCTATTTTTAATTTACATAGAAATACTTACAACACTTTAAATCCATTATAATGCTAAATACTTATATAGATATTTAAACTCAATTCATATAAATAAAACTTACGTAAAAACTAATCAAAATCCTCATAACCATAAATTGATACATCCTATATCAAGCATCAAATTAAAAGTTAATGATCAACTATAGTTTTTAAATTGGCGTGATTAATGAAAATATTTGACATCAAAATAGAAAAAATTGCAATATAAACCTAAAAAATCCAATGATTAATTAAATTAAAAACCAATGATAATTGATTATATTTCAAAATGCAATATAAATTAATTGATAAGTGAACCAAAACTTTAAAAATATGGAACTTTCTACAGCGGCATGTACAATACTTGAATAAATGAATACATTTTAGCATAAAATACAATTTGTTGAACAAAATAATTCCATTATCCTCAAAAAAAAAAAAAAAAAAAAAAATATTCCATCTAAAAGTATGATTAATGCTGAATATTGAATTTTTCACCTACAAACACATAAAATCACCAAATAAATCACATCAACATTTGAAAATAGAAAAGAAAATCAAAATCGATTATTAAAGAGAAAATATATAGTGGAGCAAAATGTAAAATTTAGAAAAAGATTTTACTAAAAAAAAAAAACAAAAAAAAACAAAAAAAAAACCTCAATATAGAGTCTAGCTTAGCTTATGTGCAACCGGACATTTTGAATATTAAAAATAGGTACTCGTAATTTTATTATATAATGAAAGTACAATGTAGCATCAAGGAAAGAATACAAATAACTACTCTGCCACATGAAAAACATCATGTTAGCAATAAGTGGAAATAACAATTTAAAAACGTAATTAAAATTAGATCAAATGAAAAAGTTGTTGCAAATCTAGTTCAAATTTACAAAAACAGTACTAAAAACACAACAAACGCAAATCATAGACAAAAACGAAGTAAAAAAAAATAAATTTAAATTGAGATTTTAAAAAATGAAAAGGAAATATATAACAAACTAAAAAATATTGAAAATAGAATTATAAAAACTCCATCTTTAAACATTGTAAAAGAAAATTAATTATGCAAATCTTGTAAAAAATCCAAACAAAATATTGATACACAATTCTTCTTACAAAAAATGATTAAACACCAATCACCCAAAATTAAAAAACAAATTTCAGAAAAATATTGAAAAAAATTAAAATCCTACATAAACTTAATAAAAATCGAGATCTGAAAAAAAAAAGTGACACATGATAAAATTTAAAAATATTAAAATTCATAAAAAAAATATCTTTGAACATTGAAAAAGGAAAAAAAAAAAAATTCAAAGTTTTATAAAAACCTAGACAAAATTTAAAGCGAATTTGTTAAAAAATGATTAAATACCAAAGCAACAAAAAAGTGAAAAGAAATTTGAAAAAAAAAAACGAATTATAAATAAAGTTGAGGAAACATACGTTTGATTGCTCCCTTAAATTCAATACCGCAATTATTTTTTGAAGTTTGTAACATCTTAACAATTTTTTTTTTATTACTTAATATAAATTATGGATTTAGGATGAAAGAGAGAAATGGTAGAGTTAGGGTAAATAGAGAAAGCATAAAAAGTTAGCGAGAGGGAAGATAAACTATTATTAATTTTTTAGTGTGATTGAAAATTTATGTATATAATGCAATTTAGTGAAATCCAAGCGATACAAATGAAAATTGATATCTTTTTTTGAGGGGATTGAATCGTTTAGGAGTGTTTTTTTTTTTTTTTTTTGGTTTTTTATTTTATTATATTTTTTTCTTACACTTTAGTTGAAACGAAAGAGAAAAAAAAACAAAGAAAAAAAAGCAAAAATCATAAATGCAGGAAAAGGACAAGTGTCCTTTAAATTTCCTATTTAAAAATATTAGTATAGAATTTTTTTTTTTATCCAATAAATTATTTTCTTGAATAGGCATGATTAGGGAGTTGGGATGGAAAAGATGTAGAAGAATTGTTTGATGGATTTTCTATTTTAATAACTTTATTTGGATGAAAAAAACTATTTTCATGAATAGGCATGATTAGGGCATTGGGATGGAAGAGATGTGTGTGTGTGTTTTTTTTTTTTTGTGATTAAAAAAATTATTTTAAACACAGGAAAAATAGGAAGAGGACAAGTGTCCTTCCAACTTCTTATTTTTAAAATAATAGTATTGATTTGAGTTTGGTTCAATTTCAATTACTCCCTCCGTTCTTTTTTTATAGGCTAGAGATGAGATTGCTTGGAGTGTTAGGTGGTTTAATAAAATAAGATGTTTGTGGGGTAGATAAAGTTATTATTTTATTAAAAAGTAAAGTGGTGTGAGAGGGAGTGAGGACCATTGGAGGAGAGATAAATGATAAAGTTAAGTGTCATTTGGTTGACAAATAAAACATGAAAAGTTGAAATTCCTAGGAATTAATTTTTTTTGAGTTGTTTGGTTGACAAATTCATGAGAAGTAGAAATTCCCATGAATTTCCACTTCCCACAAAATGGAGGTATTTAATTACCTAAGAAGACCTAGGTAAGTTGAACTTCCCATGGGAATTTCCACTTCCTATGGTTAACCAAACACAATTTAACATTTCCTAGGAATTCCAATTACATTGGAATATAAATTTCCAAAGCATTTGCATTTCCCACATTCAACCAAACGAGGCCTAAAAGAAAGAGTGGGGACATTAGTGAGTAAAGATATATTATTAAATTATAAGAGATTTCCTAAAATGGAACTCTAGCTTATAAAAAAACGGACGAAAATAGTAACTCTAACTTATTAAAAATAAATAAATAAATAAATAAATAAATAATAAAAAAAACAAACGGAGGGAGTATGATTTTATACATGCAAAATATACTTCAAAAAATTAATCAATACAACAAAAAACAATGATGCTCTAAAATTTTAATAAATTTGAACAATGTTTATAATCAATTACGGAGTAATTTAAAACATTGTGCGTAACTAATTACACTTGTAAATCGTAATCAACACACTTGCAAATCGTATAAAATTTATTCATGATTACATTATATTCTTAAATACTTCTATTTATATTTTTCATTAAAAAATTTAACAATTTAGGGTGTGTTCTATTCACCTGATTTTTATTTATCGAATTTTGAACGTTTTTTATATTATCTGAACTTACTTGAAATTATCTAAACTTATTAAACCGTATTAAAGCTTATTTTAGTTGTAACTAGATGAAGCCCGTGCGATGCACAGTTTTATTTGTATTTTTCAAATAAAATATTTTACTAAATATATATTTATCTGATAAACACTGTGATTTTATTCGCTTGAATTTTTTTATTATAAAATAAATTATTAATTTTGCTTCTCATATTTAGATAAAATTCCTAATGTAAAAGGATAATATTTTATCTCACAAAATTTCATATGTGGCTGGCCACACCATATGGTCAGGGGTTACTCGGTTGGTAAAGGGTTACTCGATCGATCAAAGGTTACTCAGACGGTCAGGGATTACTCGGTAAGAGTATTGGTGTGTCTCATCCGGCCAGACGATATAGCTAGCCACATAGAAAATGCGCTGATTTTATTTTTATAATTTATATAAAATTTAAATCTAAAATGAATTGCAAATATTTTTTTCATTGGCTAAAATATAACATTTTCATGTGTCGCTCTAATAATTTTTTATTTTTTATTATAATCCTGCGTAGCTTTAAAAAAAAAATAGCTTACGTGGTATAATTCTATTGTAGCGTTTTAAAAAATTAATCCCACGTGGCGCTCTAATAAATTTTTAAAAATAGATCCTACATGGCGCTCTAAAATCTCGGGAAAAAACTCCCCTTTACATATATACTAGTTTTCCGGGCGGTGCCCAAATGGTTGATAAAATTTTAAAATAACATTTATACTTGAATGTTAAATATGGTCAAATAATTCATTATGATAATGTAGGTTATTTAGACATACGATATCATATGGCTTATATTTATATAATAATACTTTTTATAGTTTTGTTTGTAAATAGATATCTATGTTATTATTGACTTTAAATTATTTTTATTGAGCTTAAATTATTTTTACCGAACTGAAAGTATTTTTACCAAACTAAAATTAATTTTATTGATTTAAACTTATTTTTACTAATCATCTAATAAATTTTTAAATAAATTAAATAACAATGCATTTTGTATGCGGCTAGCCACACCATCTAGAACAAAGTAACCCTATAAAACTGACCGAGTAACCCCTGTAATACTAACTGAGTAACCTCTAACACTGACTAAGTAGCCCGTATCTATAACACTGATTGAGTAACTAATATAACATTGACCAAGTAACCCCTACAGCACTAACAAAGTAACTCTTGTAATAGTTGGTGACACGATTTGGCCAGCTACTTATAAAAGTTTGTGATTAAATATATTATAAATGAATCTTATTTTAAAGAACTTTTTAAAACGAATTTGATGATGGAAATAGATTGAGTTATAAAATATTTATTAAAAGTTATGATTAATTTTGTATATATGAAATATTAGAATTCTATTGATAATAAAACTCTATACAACAATTTTATCTTAAAAAATCTATCTAAAAATCGCTTACTTAGCATTATATGTGTCACAATAATATCTATTTATCTCCTACATGGCGCGACACTTGGCAAAAAACTAGAATTCCAAGTGTCGTTGTTGTTAGGATTTATAGCGATTTCAATCAAGAAAACACTTAAACAAAGTGTGGGAACAAATCCTAAATATATGATTACAATTCCAAATTGTAAATATCAAATACTAAACAAAGTATTACAATCAAGTATTTGAATTGTCAATGAAATTACTGAAAATATACAAAGACTACACTAGTGTGAAGATGATCAAACTTGCCTTTCCTCCAAAACGTTAATTCCAAGCATGAACATGAGAAAATCGATGTCCCGTAAGACTAATACCTTGATAAACTGTCAAAGGCGTGTAAACACTTTCCTAAAGAGATTTATTTCCTCTACACGGTACTTGGGTTAAACCGGAAATCCTCTTTGAGATACAATGGACAGCAATTTCGTTCTTAGCACTAGAATCGATATAAAAATGATCAATTCACCAAGATTGGATTAATTGAAAGAGTTTTTCTCACAAAAGTTTGCAACAAAATTTGAGAGAAAATGTGGAGAAATACTTTTTGGGAGATGAAGAATAAACTTCTGTCAATTTCTTTCACGAAACTTGTCTTTTAATAAAAAACTCAACCGTCAAGAAAAAATCGCAAAACAGGGAGGATCAGACGCTCCTCAACGTGGAGCGGGCGCTCCTCCCAAAAATTGCGATATTCCACAAAAAGGTAGTGAGGGGCGCGGTTTAGGTGCGACCAGCAGCGCGGGCGCGCCAACCAGGACGCGCGGGCGCGCAATCCTCACCCTTTCAATTTGCCAATTTCCAGAGAGGTGCACGGTTTAGGCGCGCTCTCTGCGCGGCCACGCCTAACTTGCGCGAGCGCTCTTCATGGTCGCGAGCGCGCAACCAACAAATATCTAACAATTGTCTCGTGGCCTGGTTGCGAGACTGACTTTATTTATTAATGATATATATGATATGATATGATATTAGATTTGTATTGGTTAATTCTAATCACATCATTTTTTTTTAATTGAATTTATCTGAACTTATTACCCCTGAAATTTGTAAAGATAAGAAAATCACCACGTGAATTAACGAACTAGGCATTTTGAGATTGAGGAGAAGGGTAAGAAAATCACAACCCCAAAGTATCTCTGGTGGAACACAATATTTTCCACTAGACCAAGCTTAGCTTGGTACGAAGTACATAGTTGTCCGTTTGATAATCATACATTCATAGAGAGTAAAAATACGAAGTAGGAGTACTCCGTATTTCCTAAAATAATTTTGTACAAATGACTCCACCTTGCTACGTGGCACCAAATTATTGGTTGTGTCTATGTGGAAGCTTTCCTAAGTCAAATAGAACTCGGTTACTCCAATACTCTTTACAATTTCCGTATATAAATTAGAAAATAAACCCAGAATTTTCATAATTTTTGTTAAAAAGTAAATCGAAGCTTTTCTCTCTTTGCATCTATAATTTCTCCGCCCTTGTTCTAAATTTCTTCACACAATAAATCAGGTTGGTTTTTCTCTTTCTTTTTTAATTGTTTTTTGTATTTTAACAACAATTTATTGCATGAATCAGATCTGATTGAAAATTTTCTTCTATTTGATTTAGAAACTTGTTATCTGAAAACCCAATTCATTGTTCTTCAAATTTACAAGTATATTTGGGATTTACGATTTAGATCTATGTGACATGCACTGTAAATTCTGTGATTATCGTTGAATTTGGTCTATTTCTGGCACTAAACCTTGATTCGCCTTTCAACGTCGTGAATAGATATTTTAATATTGTTAGATTTAGGGTTTAAGTTGTTAATTGCTTGGATTGATGCACCCTTGATTGTTAATTGTGTAAAAATATTGAATTGTGTTAATTAGGTATTTAGATTTGGACAATTGGGGGTAAAATTGAGGTGAATTGTTGATGGGTTGATTAGAAGATGGGATTGGTATTTCTTGATGAGATGGGTACAACTTGTTGATGGGTTATTTAGGAGATGATAAGATGGGGTAATTACAAGATGGGATTGATTGTCATTCTTTTGTTGGGATTTTCGATCCATGAAAGGGATTTACATAAGCCGAGATTATTGCCAAAACTTGCTGTTTTATCGTAGAGTTTGGGAACTTGAAGTTTGAATTTTGTTATTTTTAACTCACTGCAATAATGCTGCGGCGATGCCAAAACTTATCGGTTTTTTGTAGAATCTGGAGTCTTTGAAGCTTGTATAGAGTTGTATATTTGTTATATATGGGTTATTTTCATCGAATAGGTTATAGGTGGGTTTGTATTTGGTATTGTGATTAGGCCTTGGTGTGAAGTTTCTGGTGTATATGTATTTGGGGAATTAGCTAGGATATGATTTGGTATTTAATGAATAATTGAAGGATGAACCTTTTACTTCCTCCGTTGTAAAATAATGTATCATATTTCTGTTGTTTTCGGTTGGTTCTTTCTTCCTGCGAATTTTATTGATCTTGGTGATTGATTGATTGATTGATTTTCATGTCGGTGTTGCATTGCATTTCCTTTAATCTTGTTTTACCTTTGAGAGAAGACCATGCATCAATAAGATTGGTGGTTGTAAATGGCATTGCAAAAATTTCTTTTTTCCCTTATTTCAATAGCTGTCTGAGGTTTAAGGTCTTAGGAAGGGGTACTAGAGGAGCAGGGGATACCCACTTCACATTAATCTTCACCATGCTTGAATTATGCAAGTCTGTTTATCTGTTCAAAGATTTGTAGTGCTGAATTCATCAACTTGCTCAATGCTCATCGATATAACGCTAATTGCTTTTAATCTTTCAGCCTGTTCCTGAAAGGAATTGAGTCCTATAGAATCTTTTTCGACTCTGTGCATCACAGATTCATGATTGTATGGTCTGTTGATCCTGTATTCCTGTTACTGTTAAATGTTAGTTAAGTATAATTCTCCTTTGTTGTATGTCTAAATTTTATGTAACTGAGTTCTAATGTGTTGTATGTTCTTTGCAGATATGGCAACTGGAACAGCTCCCCCAAGAGGAAGTGCAGCTGCCACTGCCAGCCTTCGCCGAAGGAGGACTACCAGTGGTGGAAATGCCACAGGAGGGGCTTCGGGAACTATGCTGCAATTTTACACTGATGATGCTCCGGGTTTGAAAATCTCCCCAAATGTTGTACTTATGATGAGCATTGGTTTCATTGCCTTCGTTGCTATGCTTCATGTTGTGGGCAAGCTCTGGTTGGTGAGGAAAGAGTGAAGCAAGCCTTACTAGAAAATTGTTGGTTGGCTCGTACTTAGGCACCTTTGCAGTTTTTTGTTTTGTAATCAGCTTCGACAACCATATTAGTATTCTGCTGCTAAAATTTACGAGCAATGATGTTCTACTATTACGAAACAGAGATTAGTGTTTAATATATCGGCTTTTGAAACTTGTTGATCTTTTTGCCTTATCTGTTTAAATCCCAACCTTTCAAATTTATGATTGCGTCTTTCAGAAATTTCTTTTATGAATCGCTCATTGGTTATCCTTGAATGGATTGAACTTCATTCGATACATGTTTGCAGAATTCACATTATCCGTATCAGCAGCCTGATATCTGTCCATCTTATGACTGTTTAATGACAGTAATATCAATATATTGGTGTTTGAAACAATGTTTGATTTTAGAGGGTTCAATATAATCTATAAGTAATCACTCTACAGTGACAGATAACTTATGAACTAAAGTTAAAGCTAATATTGGTATTATTAGAGGACATACAAAGTACTTGTTCTGTTGTTCGAAAATTAGTCTTACATTCAATTTTGCGTCATTGCGTGAGCATTTTGGTACTACTTTCCCACTGGTAAAGGCCGTTTGGTGTTGGTTAGATTGTCACGTATCTAGTTAAAATGCATATAAACGACTCAATGGGTGCAGATTAGATTGTCACATATCTAGTTCAAATGCATATAAACGACTCAATATGATGGTACCGATCCATAATGCAGGGGATACTAAGCTTTCATGTTAGTCCATACAATCTAAAACTAAGAACATTAGGACCATAAATCCCAAAAAAAAAAAAATTAGAATACCCATGTAATGAAAATTAAATTACTAAGTATGCCATAATTCGATGATTAGATAAAGCATTAAGGATACTAATTCAAACAATTATTACATTAGGCATTTCTTCGAAAGATTTCAGATAAATATTGGTTTGAAGCCTTTGTGACTACTTGATTACCAAAAGAAATCAAGCTTATGATTATTCAATCATAAGATTTTGTTAACACTTGACTACCAAAACTTGTTGATTTATTCACATTTTTGTCATTTAAAAATTTGTTTATTAAGGAGATTAACTTGTATTTTCTCTTATTGAATCATGTACAAATGTAAAAGAAAATGACAGTAAACGATTAATTCTTCTTTGCTAAATGAATGCGTTTTAATTCCTTGTATATATTTCTGAAAAAAACCAATTTAAATACATTTTTTTATTACATATTAAGACTATAAAGTGTTAGAACCTCCTTTCTCTCTCCTCAAAAAGTGTATAAATTCCCGCGCAGATTTCTGTTACACATCACTTGAGTTAACCCCAATAAAAAAAAAAACACACAAAAACTCTGTTTCAATAAAAAAGTTCTGAAATTCTAAGAAATCCATGGAAAACAAGAAGATGAAGTTGAAACCTAAAACAGAGGAACTGATTTCTGGATCCAAGAACAAGATTAATCATCAACCCAGAAATACCCACCAATCCCAAGTTGATGGAGATGATATTTCTGCTCTCAAAATCATGAACAAATCTTCAAGTTTAAGCAACAAAGCTTGGAGTATGGCTTCTTTAATGGCGGAACTCCCTCCTTCTCCTTCCTCCTTTGATGCCGATTCACCTACACTTCCTTGTGATTCTTGTCGTCCTTCTACTGTCTTTTACTCTCCTACAAGATTTCAGGTCTCTTTTATACTCCCAATTTATTCTGTTTTTCGATTGTAAATTTGTAGAAATCACTGATTTTCATAAAATTCTGAGTATATTTAACATTTTCTGAGCTCTGTGTTTTTTGTTTTTTTGATTTGGTGTTGCTTTTTTATTCATTAGATAATTTATGATCATCAATTTATGTGGGGTTTTTATAATTATTGTACTAATTTCTTTGTTCCTCTGTTTTTTCCCGATTGAAAATTAGTAGAAAGCACAAATTAAAATGATGATAATATAATTGGTTTATTGTGAAATTTTTCATCTGGGTTTTTCTTTTAGTTTAATTTTGGTTCAGTGTTCTCAAGAATTAATATAAAAATAATCGAATTATATGTTTATCTTTAAGGAAATTAGTATGCTCTTCATCTAGGTTCTTGAGTTTTCGATTGATTCTGCATTTATGTTTTATTTCGTTAATTTCTGATTAAAAATGATGGTATTTAATTGTGTATTTAGGGCATGAAAAGTTCCAACAGTTTCACAAATCTGAAGAAGCAATTTGAATCAGCAAAAAACATTGGATTTCTTGAAGGAAATGAAGCTGATAACTCATTTGACTATGAATCTTCAGTTGGTGTTAATGATGATAATTGTAAAGAAATATTCTCTGTTCCTCCCACTGTTTCTGAAGAGTGTTCTAGTTATCTACACAAGAGGGGAACTGGTTCTGCAAACCGTGAGGAATTCGGAGAGGCGATACCGGTGATTGAAGAGGTACGAGGGGAGCGTAGGCAGAGCCACCGGCCTAAGTCCTACCAGGACTTTTTGGATGAAACTCGGAGCCACAAGCAGAAGGCTGAAATTGATGCAATGAGGAAGGCTTCATATACTTATCTTCTCAGAAAGTCAGTCTGTCACTCTCTTTCTTCTGTTTACTGTTGTACGGTATGCAGTATGAACACTAAAAGTCTGTAAATGATTGGTCAGGTTGACAAAGAAGGAAGAAGCCATTGATGAGTGGGAGTCGAATCGTAGGAAGAAAGCAGAGTTACAGCTAAAAAAGCTTCAGGTATAAACTTGAAACAGATCTCAATTAAACCATAACCAGAATTTTAGCTAACTGTATTGGAAACTGAAACATTACATGCAGCTTAAATAAGAAAATGCTTCGTGTCAAATATAGCTATATACTTTCTTCGTCCCAAATTAGCAGTCACGTCTTTATTTGAGAGTTGAGACCATCCCTAATGACACTGGTGGCTATATTCTGAAATACCACAGTATGGAAAGTTGTATCCCCATGAATCAAATGTGGCCTGTATTAGTTACAGATTTTTTTTTGCATATTATTGGTTAATTAAAGTTAAGTGTGTTTTTTTTAAGCTCAGTCTAACATGTTTTCTGTTTATATGGCACATTCAAATATCTATTGCTAATAAGTGTGTTTCTGGGGTTAAACAGAGGAAGCTGGAGCAGAAACGGATAGAAGCAGTGCAGAAGGTGCAGAAGAAACTTGCAGAGACACAGCTAGAAGCTCAGCAGAGGAAAGCGAAAGCAAGGAGGTTGGCATTGAAGGAAATGGCCAAACATTGTTCACAAATAAATTGACATTGACAAGGCTATACCACCCAAATTCTAACGGATTTGCTTCAGGAAAACAGCAGAACTAGCACAATAATTTCCTTCTGGAAATTTAGCTTTTCATTTTTATAATTTCAATATCGATGTAGAAACAAATCATTTGCCAGTGACAATTGAAGCAAAAAACTTGGGTACAGAAAGGAGCATTAAGCCTGCCTAAACTAGCATTAGAAAAATGTTATTAATAACATTGGTATTTGAATGTATCTAGAATATGCATATTCACAGTATTGGTACATTTACAGTCTTCTAGCAATGTTAGAAGACTAATCTACTTCTACACATTTACAAAGAAAGATAACTTCAATGAGCATTATCTGATAATCCTCCGGAGCCAACCATGCTTTCATTAACAGGCTTTGGCCCCCCACACGAGGTCGAAACGGACTCGAACAATTTTTCAATTTCAGGTGCACACCGAGTGAAGGTACGGTTCCAGAAATTATAATCAGGATTCTGTATAAAAAGCAAAACACATTAATTAAATATAACATTTATGGCATATTCATACTAAAAAGTATACTCCGTATTCACCTTGATTAGTTCAATAAATGTAATCAACAGTCCCCACGGATGTGGCCTGTTAACAATTAGCCTTTCTAACAGTACTCTGGTAATTTGTTCCTGAATGATCTCCTGCAGAAGTTGGTACATGTGCCATCATCAGGAAATATAATAGATAAAACAGGGAGCTAATTTTATCAGCTATATTGCAAAGTGTAGGACAATTCAAATAGCATAACAATTTCCAGAGGAAGGGGATGGATGAGAAAACAAAGAACCCATAATTTGGAATTAGAATTCACAGACCAACAAAAATACTTCATTCAACCAGTTACACGTCAGCAAAGATGAGTTTGGAGAATAAATAAGACGTTAATGTGGAATATATGACAGAACATATTGTTTTGACATCCAAAAGTACATTGGATATGGGTCCAAACTTGGGCTTAGGATTTTTCAAATTTTCTGGCAAAAAAAAAAATTCAATTCTTCTCGGCACTCCTAATAAATAATATGGGGTACCAAACAAAGATTTGTCATGCAAATTAAATCAATTACAGAGCAACATTTTAAAGGTGGGGAAAAATAATACCTGGTGCGCATCAGAAAATAAGTAGAGGAGGATGACGGAGAAGTAATGTGTGTGAGTATTTGGATAACGCAACTGGTTAGCAATTGCATTTAGAAATAGATAGCGGCATTCAGTATCCAAATCCCTAATTAAAGTTTGGAATATATCCAATGCTGCTTTAGCTGCCAATGGATCACTGCTGACTGACTGAGGTTGTGACCGGTTCCGAGCCTGAAGCAGCTGAATTGCCTGTAGCAAAATCAGAGGTAACCTTAAAAGTAACACCACAACACCACTACATATAACAATAATTACGTCACAGAGGACTTTGATCCTACCATAAGCAGAATTCTACAATGACAAGTTGCATGCAAACTACATTTAAAGACTTGAAAGAGATTCTTGACAGTCCACATTACACTGTTTTAAAATAGTCTTCTAATGATGCATATCTAGAATAATTCCCAGAACATTAACTTCCAAATTGTTAGAGGTCTCAAGCCAGAAGAAAACTACCAATTTGCTGGGTTTCAGTTAATCAGACTCCGGAGTCTTTCAGTCATAAAATTAGACTTGCGACTTGTTACATCGAAGATTTTTTTAAAACAACTTAGCTGGAACAAACAGGCCCCTCTATATCCAAAGAAATAGCATCTCTTTTACATTTACCAACATGTCAAATAACTCATAATTCATCAAATGAAAAGCACACAGAACTTGGAACAAAAAAGGATTGGCATACTTGCCAGAATGTGAGATTAGCTACAAAAATATAGCAAAATTTTAGAGGTAAGTTATAACAGGTCCCGGCATTACCTATCATTTTTATACCATAACTATAAAATAAACATAGCATACAATATTTACCTGCATTCCAACATACAATACAAGTGAGTTGATCAGAGGTACATTGTAACAGGTCCCAGCATGGGAAGCCTCACTAGGTGGAAGTAGTAATCTCTGCTTCAGATCACTCAGAAATGGGGATGATTGTTGCCTTGTCTGCAGTGAAAAAAGACAACAAAATTTAGACTACTGCACATAAGCAAATCAATTTAATGAAAGAAAAAAAATTTACCCTGAGAAACTCATCAACGTCAGCTTTCATCTGCTTTGCCTTCAAAGCTGCATCAACTTCGGACAATATACGAGGTGCTTGGCTCATCTCATCCAGCAAATCAATCTAAAAAAAAAAAAAAAAGATTTTTAGAAATCGTAACACATTATAGTTCAAGAAAAAATTGAAGTGGTGGAAGACAAACCTTCAAATTTGGAGTTGAAGGATCCGGAAGTCTCATGTTGCGAGGAAAAGCACTGAGGATTATATTTCGCATCTGTATGCAGCTGGGAGGTATGACATCACAAAAACTAAAATGAAAGTCACACAAGAATTCTGGAAAATCATGCAGCAGCACCAACAGCACTCTCAGAGTTCCTTGGTACAGAAAGCGTATCTTCAAACAAAACACAGAATTTTAATTAAAATGATGCTGATGAGAAAAAATAAAAAAGAACTATTATTAAGGGATCTAAAAGATGCAAACCAATTCTCCCATTTCTGCATTCCTCAAGAAAGGCTCCATGAACTGAAATAAGTCAACCAACAAGCGATGAAGAAAGGGCCACCCCTTCTGAGAGTTGCCGGTAAGCAACTTAGGCATGAAAGTTCTGTGACTAACTAGTTCTAGCCATGCAAAGCTGTAGAAATTTATGAAAGTGTGAGACAGCAAATATGATGAATAAAGTAGTCAGAACTACAATAGTTAACCACAAAAAAATTCCTAGATGACTTGCATATAGAAAATGTATTGGTCCAAAGTGTAAAGAATATATTATAAAAAAAATGGTCCAGATTTTCATGGGAGTCAACACCCATCCACATTCAGTACTAAGCTATGCTAAATCTTCATCACAATCATTATCCAATCATCATGTGCAAGGAAAGCCTCTACCTACAAGTCAACGATGTTCTAAGCATTTATGTTTAAAGTCAGAAAATTTAGCAACAGAAAATTGTTTCAGATTTCAAACCCACTTCACGACGTTAAACATTGTACTCCCTCTGTTCTTAAAATTTACCCAAAATTCTTTTTTAAATAGTCCCTTTGAGTTTGCCCCATACTATAAGTAATGATATAGGTCCATCACTTTACTTTCACATTCATTATGTTTGGTGTCCCACTAATTTTCTCTCTCCTCAACTCTCCCCAATCAAAAATTAACAAATTACACCCCAATGGGACAATATATAGAAGGGGAAAGAGAGGGAGGTGGGGGATCTCCTTTTAAGGAAATCAAAAGACTGATTAAAACTTCACAGGCAGCCAAGCATATTCTACATAGATTATGTAACTTTGAAAATCAAATTAGACTAAAATAAGGTTCATAATAAGTTTGCATAGCTAGCCTTAATCAGCCAATGTCAAGAAATAAATTGAACACAGGACGTCAAAGATTGCCATAAAGGCAGCAAGAATGAAAAGATTTTGCATTTAAGTAATCTTATAGATCTAATTCTCAAACGATTAAATACTATAGTAATAAAATGGCAAAAAGACAAACAGGGTTTCCTAATACCCAAACGTTCAGCTTTTCCTAACCTGAAAGCAGGTACTTTAAGGGGCTGCAAAGCATGGAATGCATTCGCAAAAGCTGACAAAACCTGGAAAAATTAACCACTATTAGTAAATACAAAAGATAGATAAATAATAATAATATTAATTATAACAAAAACCATCCAATTAGATCTAGTTTTGAGGGTGTGTGTGAGTGTGGGGGGGGGGGGAGGGAATGAATACAATGGCAACCATGTTATACCTGGAAATTAACACCATCGTGCACAGGGTCTAACGAACCAAAGTCTAACAGCCAATTAATAAAGAGCCTATAATATGGCCTTGGATTAAAGTCTTCTTTCTTTTCATCAGCATCTTTTTGAATTGATCTCACAGTTACAGCTAAAATCTACAGAGATAAATGATGCAATATAACAATTCATAACAAGATAACAATCCAAAATTAGGGTGAAGAAATACAAGATAACAGCAAACCTAAAACTTGAAGTTAGAATCCAACCTTTGGTAAGAGAAAGAGTTTGCTTGACCCCTGATCCACTGGGCAATGCTACAAATTTAGAAAAATCTTAAGTTAGAACCAATGCTATACAATAAGAAAAGAATGCAGATTAAAATGAAATTACCTTTAAGATTGAATATACTAGTTTAGCATAAATATCAATTGCCAGAAAAGAAGACTGCACTTGTTGAGATGACTGCATCACCTCACCAAAATGTGACACAGATATTTCCTGGAACAGAAGATCAATTATAGATATGGGATTGAATATCACTAAGAAAAAAATAAATGCTCAAGATTGGGAAAACAATCACCAAAAGAACCCGGAAGAAGCGCTCCGTTATGTCATCTCCTCTAAGTAAACCATTTTGATGTAGCTGTATAACAAATCTGATGCATGGAGTATCAGTTCCAGAAGGAAGTTCAGATAACCGATACCACTCTGCAAAAAGTAGAGAAACCTGCACAAGCATTTTATCAAACACTGTAAAATCTAGCTTGTATGAGATCATCTACTAGTTCTACCAATATGATACAATAGAAAATTACTGACTATGAAACATCTCAGCACTAGACCAGGTTATTCGACAGGGTAAACAAATGGGTAAATGTTTAGGTTTAAGTTCATAGGGCTTTTATTGGATTAGGGTAAACTATGGCTTCTTTATTGCCAGATAATTTTGTAAAAGAAATCAGTTGCAATAAAAAAGATTATATGTATAATTTAGTATTCACATGTGCTTATTTTTCTCTCTTCTAAACTTCTTTTGCCTTTTTCCTTGCTTGTTATTGGCTCGCCAGACATCAACCAACAACTGATTTGTAACCCACTTCAGCCCAACCTATTTTGAACAATTATATGGCAAGCCACATAAGACCTAACCTGCTACAGACCCGCATGGATAAGACCCAACCCGCCCAATAACCAGGTCTACTCAGCACAACCTCATAAAATACCATCTATTATAATATGCCAATACAGTATACACAAACAACAAAGAAAACTAATGACTCAGTGGCACAAAACAACTAAACAAGCATCTCCACTCATCTGGCTCAGAATGTATGAATACAGCAAACTAATATAGAAGATGCACTTAGATCCAGCAATCATCTACGCAAGCTTCCTCAGCTATCCACATAACATATCTCCCTCCTAAAGTGTTTTTAATGACGATTAATGGTCAGCTAAAAAAGAACCCTTTGAAGCAAAAGTATATGATGCTTAGCCTTGTGTACAAGTGCCAGTCAGGTTAAATTCAACAATTTGACTTAGCTATTGGTCAGCTAATAAAGTACCTCTTTCACTAGTGTTCCACTGTTTCCTACTGACCCACTTCTTCCAGTACCCCCCTCCCCCCCGATCCTTATTATGAGTGGTTTTAAACTGGCTCTCTGCTATCGTTAACCACTTTCTTTGTACAAGCTTGTGACCATTGTTCCGTGGCCGATAGGTGACAAGAAATCTACACCAAGCTTGGACAGTGACTAAAATAAAATTAATTATTGTAACACTCGTTAGCCTAGAATACGGAAATTCAAGCACCTGCTTCTGGAAACTAGAGGCATCCGGCTCCATTACTTCTACACTGTTGTACTCACCCTTACTTGCCACAGATTGAGAAACCTGTGCAAAATAAAAGTTAGCTTTATATGACATAAAAAGAAATAAAAAATCACAAGCCACCTAAAATGAGGGTCATAGGTTCATCCAAACCTTTTGGTCTCTAGTTTGTCGGTTCTTATCATCCTTCCCTGTACTAGGACTGGTGAGGCCACCAACAGTAGCAGCTGGATTTTTCACCGTTTCAACTAACTGCTGCAACAACTCAGGCGACCCCGGCCTCGCAGCAAGCTGCTATTACAATGAAATCATAATTAAATCCGCATCTGATCATCTGAGTTAAGTAACCTTACTTATGATAAAGGACTAGACACTAACCTTTGCCAGGTTTTCAACTAAATTCTGAAGCTCTGAAATGACCTTAGGTTCTTCTTTCACCAAAGTTTGGAGAAGAGAAACAGCAAACTCAGTTGCAATTTCTGTATAATAAAAAAAACCTCATGAGATATAGATCTTCAGCCACTATAAATAGGAGTATATCAAATACTTACTGTTCCTTCCTGCATCAAGAAGCTTCGCCATATGAATATTATATTCGGCCAAGTTCAACAACTCCCTTCTTATCAGGCCAACAGTAATATCCTTATTGAACTTCCGTTCCTCATCTGAATAAATCAACTGCAAAGAAGATAGCGAATCCAAAATCAAATTAAATTAAAAGCACCCTCCAATTCAATGAAAACTAAAATAAGAGAGCAAGTAAACTGCTAATATTTAATTAATACAACTGGAAGAAAAACAAGTTCACATTAAAAACAAAACCAAGATTAGGAAAAAAACTAATAACAAAGAGATGAGACCAATGAAAAAGAATCACATAGAAAATTACTATTAAGATTTTTTGATGATTTGCATGAAAATCATATTATAGTTACATAAACATACCCAGCTAGTAAGCTCCTTCACCACAAGTTTGCACACATCACGAATTGCAGCTAAAATTGCAAGATGAGCAGCAATGTGCAAACCATTGCCTGAATTCTCATACAAAGATTTGAAAACCTGCACCAGAACATATATGTAGTAAAAAAATCAATGTATGATACAAACATAAACAACAAAGAAAGGAAGATAGATATGCCATCATAGATCACCTTTTGTGCGACAGCTAAAGCAGCTTCATCTCGGTTGCCACATTTTAGTATGATCTGTGGAATCTCTGAAACAATAGGCTGGAAGAAATTGATGGGAAAAAGAAAATCAAAAATGAGTGTTATGCAAGTACAAAAGCATGACTTAAAATTCGATAAAGTTCTATGTACCCGTATGGCATAAATACCTGAATTTCCGCTTCTCTACCATCACTAGAAAGGGCAGTTTCCAACTGTATTCAAAAATGAGGAATTGAAAAGGGTGCCTCAGATGCAAGTTCAACGGCAAAGTTATTATAAAAAGCATCAAACAGAATACTAGTGAAGGCACAATCAAAATCAAGACCAAGAACAACACCAAGCCCAATAGATAAGCATGGAAAGCAAAATCCGATAAACCATGCCATTACTTCTGCCCAATTGCACATCAAGACCAATATAAGACAGTAAACACAATTTATAATCAGATGTATGTAACACTCGGTCTTTAGTCTTTACAAACTAGAGCCATGTAAGCTGTGCCTTAAGTAATGAATGCACATACGCACATAAAGATCACATCAACATCATCCTCCCATGAGCTATATATAAATAGACATAACAGGACTTAGATAAGAATGACTACTGCATGGGTAATATATATGACCTTCAATGCAACTAACTGGTATTTGTCCAGCACATCTCCAATAGTCAATGAAGGTTCTAAGAGACCAGTTCCTATAGGCACAGATCCTTGCGGTGGTGATTGGGAGGTTACTCCAGGATCCTGAAAGCACAAAAATGGTCAGTAAAGAATATTGTACTCACAACAGCACAAAAACAAAAAAAAAATATAATTAAAAAAAATTAGCATCACCAACCTTCATACTTGCAGCTGATTCAACTGGTAGTGCTTCCATGGCTGACACACCAGAAGAAGACACCGGGGTTGAATCATTCTCAGAGCGCTGAGAGCCAACACTTTCAGAAGTTCTTATCTGACTAAGAGCAGCAGTACTGCCATGCAAGGAAAGAAGCATAAATGAGTATCAAACATAGCTACTAGAGGCAGAAACAATGTAAAAAATTGCAGGTCCACAATAGCAGCTGCTACAAAATTAACAGCTGGTCTATTAGCCATCATCAATTTGGCCGAGTCAAGAGCTTATCCTAGATATTTTGTAAATAAAATCATGGACTAAAAATTAGGGCTCAAAATGTTATTTTACATAATCATAGAAGTATTAATCAGCACCTTTAGAAGTTAGAAGAAAATTAAACAAATATTGCCCTAGCAAAATATAGTATGTACTTCCTCCGTTCCAAATTAGATGACACACTTGAATTCGGCATGCAAATTAAGGAGGAAAGATATGGAAAGGCAATTGACAAAATTATCAAACACCCATCAACCCACTACCCAGCCCACAGACTCTTCCTGACAGACTAATTTGTAACCACCAATTGCGCACTCCTCAACTCCACCACCAGTCACAACTGCTACATACCTATTTAAATTAATTTCCTATATTTCCACCATACTCAACTGCCTAACATACGATTCAGACATCCATTTCTTGCTCATATGGCTCCCGACTTCCCATCTTTCCCAACCCATGCATATTTTCTCATAAAAGGAAGCAAAAGTAGCTTCATATATTTGTCCACAACAATTTCCAGAGATCAAGATTTTTTTGTATTTTGAAAAGCTGATATCCAAACAGAAATTCATCACAATATGAAGAGCATGACCAAAAAAAAAAAAAAAAAAAAAAAAAAAAAAAAAAAAAAAAAAAAAAAAAAAACCAATTTAAACATCCCACTACGTCCTGAACTCTAAATTGCAACGCACATATACATTTTCGCATTTTGAAAAGCTTTAAATCAGTATCAATACAAGCAGTATAACTTGCAATGAACTTACATTTTAATGTCCTGCATTTCAACAAGAAGATAGATAAATACCTAAGTATCTGTGAAGATGGTTCCATTTCATCAGAAACAAGATCAATAGGCTGAGCACCCACACCAAAACTAGTATTCCCGAGTCCAGAGTAGATATTTGAACTTAGCTGTCCTGAAGATGCACTGAATGTGCGCGGGAAGCTTCCACCAGCAGGGGAAGGAGAAGGAGAATGAGCAGCAAGCGTACCATTAACACTTTGACTCGACTGTTGGTTCTGCCAGGGAAGCCGCACAAAATCCTGCCAAAAATAGAGAGCCAATTAAAAACCTATCCACAATACACTTAATGTCAAATAAAGTCTATAAACAAAAGTACAATATGCAAATACCAGCAGCAGCTGATACAACCCTATCACAGTAGAATGTGAAGAGTGTAATCAAACTCAGTGCCATACCTCATAAACACGTTGCTGGGAAAAAGACAAGCGCCCAGGGGTAGGACGAAGAGTTTCGGGCAAGATACCCATTGCACCTTGTGCATATATATTAGCATCATATATTGAGGAACCAAGACTTTCTCTGTGCTTTCTTCTCAAGGAAAGTTGTTGTGAGATTTCTGCATCAATTGTTTGTACAGCCTATAGCAACAAATGCAGACCCTTTGGTAAGATGAGCACAATTTTCTAATGACCAAATCCATATAAAGCAAATAAAATTCCCATGAATATGAGGGAGGCTCAAATTCCAGATCCGATCACCAAATTATCCCCCAAGACACCCCCCCCCCACCCACCCCCCCCCCCCAAAAAAAAAAAAAAAAAAAAAAAAAAAAAAAAAAAAAATATATATATATATATATATATATATATATATATATATATATATATATATATAATTTAAACCTGGCCTTTGTCAGATAGTAATCCTCCCCAGTCAAGGGGGATAAAAAAGTATATGTGACAGGATATAAAATAGAGCATCACTGATAACAAAAGACTATTGGAGGGCTCTTATCGGCAGAATTAATAACAAAATCCAGAACTTCACTACTGCTGGATACTCCATCTCGCAACAAATCGTCACTCTAGATAGCGACGAACAAAAGTAATCAGAGAAAGTATTACAGGAAACCCTCAAACATAAAGGTTAATGTTAACCAACAAGTTCTCCACCAATCAACATTATCCAATAAAGGAGAGAAATCACATTCAAGAAGCTAAAATCTTAACCTTCTCTTGTGCTGCTTGTTCAATCATTGCACAACCCAAATCAAGGTTGTCATTGGTCACGAGCTGTACATACTGTTCTAAAACTTCACTTCCAACATTTACTCCTTGAAGCATATTACGCAGCTGACTAGTTATTGAGCCACGCAGAGGTTCCTGCAGCAGTAACCAAACTCTTGGACATCAGGTTCTTCACAGCATATATATAGCTAATGATGAAGATCTCTAAAAACCAGCTACATTAATAAGCTTGTTGACACCATATTCACACATTTTACAAAGAGCATAACAGGACATCGCACCTTGCAAGTCACATGAGCTAGACTTCCAGAAAGACTAGCAACCATCAAATGCGCAGCATTATATATGCGACTCTCATCTGACTCCAAAGCATAATCCTGAAAAAATAACATTTGTCTAATTTAATTAGTAAAGAAAAACTTACCAAATAGACCTTAGTGACTAATCAACTAGGTAGTATACAGAACCTTAATAACAAGCTCCTTAGTAGTTTGAGTAGCGATGGAAACACTACGCTGCACTATACCAGGCACAATTTCTTTGATAGCTCTATCCATAGCAAGTGGAAGAACTCTGCAGTGAAGTCAATTCACCTCAGTAAGTATCAAATAAAACAAGGTAGTTCTAGAAATGACAAAAGCCTGAGAGAAGGGAAACCAGACCTCTGGAAGTGCACATGTAAGCCCATATTATTCAGCTTTGAATTCACGACGACATGTGCTCCAAGGCTAGGAATTGAAGGGGGTAACTGTAACATCAAACAAGACACACTTAATAGCTAGCAGCTATGTGAAAAAATAGGTAAGATGTTGCACATTTCAGTTGCTAACAAATTGTAGTCAGGTTGTAATTTATCTCCAAAAATTTAGATATTATTTTCTATCAACTCATAGCCCATTCCAGCCTGAATAACATTTAAAGAAATTGGAACTCAAGCCAGACAGCCAGACCGACTTTGAGGTTCATTTCTGTTGGACGCAATTCTTTTTGAATTACATAGATTGCATAAGCCAACACTAATATCAGTGAGTCCAAATATCATTAGTAATGTTGAAAGCAATAAAGTGTCTCCATACCTGAGTCATGCTATATTGAGATTGAGATCCAGCAGATTGGAGCAATCCTTGAGCTGAAGGAAGCTGGTCAGAAAACCCCATACTACCACCCTTATCATCCTCAGCAGGAACATACTGAGTCGTGAAACACAAGATATTAGACTGACAAACAGACTATCAGCATGAACAAATTGAGTGAGAGAGAGAGGGGGAGAAGGAGGGGGGGGGGGGGGGAAGTTAAAAATATTCATGCACAGACCGGAGAAATTGGAACAGGAAGCTGAGGTTTAGGAGGCGGTTCCATGGGCTCTGGTATTGCCACTTGATCTTCAGAAGAAATTGGTTGCTGTGGTGCTACAAACTCTTTGTTTGAAAAATCAGGATTTCCTTCAACTACTCGCACACGATCTCTTAAAAGAGAAGTAGGGTTCACTTCTTTTATCTGAACACCAAGATTTTTAAACAGCACCTAAAAATAACAGCAGCAGCCAACAAGATAAACACAACAGCAACTGCATAATTGCATTAGAACAGCAATAGCTTTATAATAACAAATGAGAGCAGATAGCAGGCATGAACCTCAATGTCAAATTTAAGATTCATCTTTAGGTTTGGCATCGCATAGATCTCAGTAAGCAAGGCAAGAATACCCATTGTCCAAGGATTTGGAGGTTGATAAGCTAGACTGCTTTGACATGGTTCCAAAATCTAATACAATTGATTGGATTCAATAATTCAGTATATATTTACAGATTAAAATAATCAAACAGAACTAGGGAGATAATATACCTTAGACGTAAAAGGAATCACAGCAATCATCAATCCTTTCTCGTACGCCTGGAAGAAAAAATCACATCCCAAAAAATATCAAATGCCAAATACAAAACAAAAGTTTACAAAGAGAGGAACCATGGAAGATTGGAAGCCAACAAGATCTAGCGATACCCATCCAACAGAAAGACAGTATATATAAGTTATAATTCTTACAAAGCCAATTTACCTCTATAATCAAAGATTTAGGATCAATATCACGAGCCCTAAGAACTTGATTTCGACCAATTGTAAGTTTCCCAAGCCAGCTTCCCAAATTTTTTAGCAAAGAGCGCTCTTCAGAACTAGATTTTATGAGCTCAGAGCCTAAAAGAACCTGAAAGAACAAATAGGAAACTTCAATTTTATTTTCAGAAGATGCACTCAAATAATACCCATCAAACATCATCTCCAGCTGTTAACCTTGCAATTCTCATATGTTTCCTGAACAATTTCCTTATACAGAGCTTTTGAATTAATCTTGTCCAGAAACTTCAGATACATTTCATGAAAGTTCGGTTCAATGCTAGCTCTGCAAAATTAATTAAAAAAAAATTATAATTCCAGTGGATATCCATTATTAAAAAATAAAAAAATAAAAATAAATAAATAAATAAATAAATAAAATAAAATAAAATAAAATAAAAAATTGAATAAGCACCCAGAAGTACAAGGAAGAAAATTTGCAACCTTTTCATCACCATATATTGTGCAAACCAGGGATAGCATTCCTCCTTCAGAATTTCTGAAAATTCTTTGGCCTTCGCATCCATAGTAGAAGCAGAGATATTGTTGAAAATGAATGAAATTTTGTCCTGAGCCTCAGATGATGGAGCCTGATTGAATGTACAATGATCAGATAAAACAATACTTTCTAATATAATAATAAATAAAATAAAAACATGTAATGAGGTGCATAGGTGGTGCAAAAAAATATAGCTTGAATGAACTAATTAAGCAAATTTTCCCTTTCCATCACCAGTCGAATTTTAAAGACTGATTGAAAATCACAGTGATAGTTGGACAAAGTGTTCCAGATGAAATTAAAGGCAAGAAAATAAGCTCAACTAAAGGAAATTTACCGAGGACGGTCAGAGATAGCCTCCCCATATAAACAACACCACCAAGAAAATTCAGTAAACATCTAATTGATTAACTGATACAGTGAATAACTCAAACACCCAGGGGGGGGGGGGGGGGAAGGTTTTCCCTTTGAGAAATATAGCCCCACAACAATGCAGCACAACAGAGAAAGCTATGCAGCAACGATGGTGCAACCTAGAATAAAAGAAAAACTTGAGAAAAGAACATAAGCCAAATAGCCCATTGTTCAGCTACCTATAAAGACCAGAACAAGGACACGAAGAAAGCAGCTCTATTCTAAGAAACAGTATTTTTTTTCCCAACTGTCTGCAGGTTCAGATATACAACGTCCTAAACCAACCAACCAACCAGGCAAGCCACAACTCCTGAAGAGCAAAGATATAATTTCAGTACCTCTATTGGTGTTTCTCTTCGTTCTGAAGCAGCAAGGAGGGTCTCTATATTCAATGCAGAACCAAACCCTGAATATAAGAAAATTAGCAAAATAAACATATAGCAATTTTTTCCACGAATAAAACAACATATGCAAGATTATCCAGACACATCACTATAAAATATATATTTGATAAAATGACATTACTGGCATTAGTAACTCCTCGGGTACGAGCATAGCCTTGAGAGGATGACAGCATTCCAGGTGTAGTCAGTGGACTCGGAATCTGTTAAAGAAAGTAAAAGATTAAACTATGTCTTATCTTGATAAAATATTCACTGGTATTATCTGAAACATATGTACCTTTGGAATGCTAACTGCATCAGCTAAAGTCGTTGCAGTAGATTGAGCTGAAGCAGCTACTAATGGCTTTGTGAAGCTATTCATACTTAAGGAAGCTTTATTTCCATCATCTACCTGCACTGGGGGCCTAGGTTGGATGGGTGAAGGAGAGGAAAGTGGCTGCCCCAGCTGTGTAGTAGTCAATCCAGTAATCTGCAAATTGACCATGATTATTAATGCGCTTTTCAAGCAAAAAGGAATATCTAATCGAGCTTCATCCCATAATAAGAAACATATGTTTGACTATTTTACAGAATGACTCTCTTTAGTACCCAAAAAAAAAAAAGTTCACATAAGTGTTTTGAAAATATCCTATCCAACAGTTGACTGGTATGGGTAAAGCAGCTGAGTGGGGCCAGCCGGAGCCACCCCCAAACCCTGCCTCAGCAAGAACAACAATGGGAGCAGATGCTGACCACAAAAATGTTAAGAATTGAGATGCTCAAATCCAGCTTAATTAACCATAACAATACTACTTGGAAGGTATAAAATTGAACGTAAGAGATTCCCTTCTGTTGAGGAAGACTATAACAGCATTTAAATTTTTAAGATCTTCCTTGGAAGAAAGACAGAGGGAAAAAAATATAGCATACACTCGAAAGGCAATATTATCTCACATCGGTAACTAAATACAGTCATTAAAAGTACAATGCACTTTTTAAATCAGCTTCATAACACTAAACTTTAGGACATGTACTCGGTGTATAGCAAAATAGTTAGGGTTGGTGTCAATGCATAATAACTTATTAACTATGACATTCAACATTTTAAATAGCCCACCATATAACTCAAGTGCAGTCAGCTCCTTATCTGCTACCATCATTGAATTTGAAGTAAATTCTCATACAAATTAAAAAAGCCAACAAAGGATGACACAAACCACAACAACATGACTAGGTTCACTTTTACCTCGTTGCCTGTCGTTCCCAGAGAAGTAATATTAAGTTGGTCAACAGGACCATTTCCACCATGAGATTGCCGGGCAAGAATTCCTTCAATAAATACAACTAGGTCTTGATGAGTACCACGAAGATGGGATATCTGCAAGATATGATTGCAATATTGGGGCCACTCATCCAAACGATTGACAAACTGCTCCAACGCTTTTGTACCAAACGTAAACATCTGTTGCACAAAATCAGACTTATAATTTCCAAAACCAGCACAGGGAAGCATAGGAACGACTGACCTAAAAAGAAAATAAAAAAAACCTTTGAATCTGCAGGCTTCCGTAAAGCATCCAAAACACAACGGAGTGCAATACCAAGTGTCAGATGTGTTACTAGCTGATGCTTGATGATAGAGCCTACAGCAAAGTTACTGCATCAGTATCTTCAAACTAATGGAGTAAAAATTAAAAACTAGAAGCCCATACCAAGGATAAAGTTATACCAAATAATACAGCAGCAATTCCAAGCTGTCTCTCGGGGTATTTTGGGAAAAATCTATACTCTTCAAACAGATTGGCAATCATGCATTCGAAAATAGACAGTTCCCTGCAACTCCATACATGATTTTTGTTAAAGATTATGGTCGAGCATCAATAGTCAGTCCGTAGCAAGAGTAATCACATCATCATTACACTTATAAGCAACCTTACACTCTATACTCTATAGTATATAAATATCTTTCAAAAACCAAAAATAGCTTCATAAGCAAAGAAACAAGAAAAATTAGATCCTAAACATGCAAAATGTATGCAAGAAAAAAGGGGGAAAATACAAGATGCTAGTGTTATCCTCAGAAGTATCACCTCCTCTGGACAAATGAGGGATAAGAGCACTAATCCAAATAAGATGACAAAAGATAGTGGCAAAGACAAAAGCAGACTTCAACTCCAATAAAGTGCAAACTCCAAAATACCCAGTAGAAGTGCTTCCTTCTCAGCATATGCTCCAATTTACATTAAGAGATTATAAGAGTAACAAAATAAAGCAGAAACATACACAGTAGAAAAGGGAAACAAATTAGAAAGATATTCTAATCTACAAAACCAGGTCTTTTTTTAACAATAACAATAATAATTAATAAATAAAAACAAACATGCCAATTTCCAATTACAAAGTTTGCAAAAGGGCAGGTTTAAAAATCAGAAAAATAACTAGACCCGTGAATGCTATTAAAGATTCCTAAAAACCAGCAAATTACCTCGAAGGATAACTCTCACAAGTGTGTAACCAATATTTCTCCACATCATTAACTATATAAAATTGTCAATCGATGAGAGAAGGTAAATATATCTAGACCCAAACAAACCTAACTCCAGATATCAAGCATCGTACGATCAAGGAAAACCAGGAAGCAAATATACACAAGGAAAATGCTCACAAGGAACACCAAGAAGAACAAACCCTCACAAAAAAAACAAAGGACAATAACCAAGAACAGATGACGAAATACAAGAAAATAAAATCTCTTATCAATTTCACATAAAGAATGCACTAATAAAATTAAAAATAAATAAATAAATAAAAAAAAAAAAGAGGCATATGAAGATACGTCTAGCTAGTACCTTTTGTCAGGGGATTCTTTGAAACGTGTAAGCATTAGGACCATATCACCAACAGTAATCTGTTCAGAAAACATGTGCTGGAAATAGGAATTTGCCTCTGCATCAATGTCAGAAGGCATATTTGAGGAGGGTGAATCAGCAACTCCTTCATTCTGTGGAGCCAAACTGCCATTCATCAGAGATACATGCATTTTTTCAATTTCATCACACAGACTTTTGGAGGTCACTACGTGGGCCTTGGCTTGAAGGACCTGCAAAATGACCACTTTTACTACTAATGACACACACACACACATACAAACACAAACACAAGCAAAGACCATAACAATAGACTAAATAAAAAAATTAACCAAGCATAACCTTCAGGATGACCAGAGCACTCCGGGAGCCAGGGTTAGCAGACGAAACAGTTTCATGCAGCTTGTCAGCATTCTCTTCAGATATTGTTTGGCTCTGAACCTCTTTAATATACTTGAAGCACTCCTGCAAGGCACCATTGTAAATATAACTCCAGAGTATTTGAACATCTTGAACTAATTCAAGAACAGTAACATAAGGCTAATCTCACATTAGAATCATTAAATAACAAGAATTAAGCATGAAGTACCGTAAAAAAAGTGTCTTTGCTTGTCATTAACATATCATTCAACCATCTCTCAAGATCCAAAAGCTCTTTTTGAGAAGCAACTGCCGCAAGTTTGATAGCAAAAGAAAAAGGAATCCGCTCCAAGACTTGGCTGAGAATCTATAAAAGCAACAAAAAGATAAATGAGCAATAGACAACCTCAAAATACCTGTACAGGCCTCTCGATAACAACCATACACTGAAATCCATGAAAGGAATTAGTGGAAATATCACTTTGCTATATTATTTCTCCAAAGAAAATACATATTGCTCAATTATGATCTTTCTCAATTCACTGACATGATTATCCAGTACCATGTTAAAGTAGAAAGCGAAGTTAATTATATATAACATACTAGCAGACTCCTTTCTGCAACATAAGATCAGCATCCAGTGGATGTGAAGAACTTTAATACACTATACAAAGAGAACAAAAGGATATAAAAAAACAATAATAAAAAAATAAAAAAATAAAAACAATAATCAAATGTTCAGAATTCTCAAGCACCTTTAAAAGTTATGAAATACTAGATAAAATCTTTTCACAAGTATACCTTGGTTTCCTGGCAAACATCTAAAATCCTGTGAATGCTGTCTGATTCACTAGCTAGAACATCAACAAATCCACGTAAAACCAAATAATGGTTGATGTGCCAGAGGTCAAGGATAACTCCTTTTCTGCCAGCATTAGCAATTATCATCGGTAAAACAGTAGAAGCAACTTCATGCTGAAGAAGGTTATAAGATGTCTGCAATATAAGAGAATAACAAAAACTAAGATAAGGACATGCAAAGGTATCTGTAGGAGGCTTCAGAGTTCAGACATCTAAATCTACTGGCAATAACACAAGGAAATAGTTGGAAACAAGCCAAATTTCAGCATCACAATAGCATAGAGGCTATCAGACTCACAAAATCAGGAACACGAATTGATTAAATTACACAAAGAAAATAATTTAATCACGCTGTTAACATGAGACAAACAATCTTAGCAGCAATTCAATAGATCCAATCAAAAAGAAATCTGATTCATAGAGCAACTAAATGTGTATCACACTCAAAGGCAGAATCTTTGGTCAAAAGATGTCTTGTCATGACTCATGACTGATGATATAGCTTTTAAAGCAAAGTTAATCAAAAAATTTTAAAAATGTGCGCTAATAATAGTTAATGCATACATGTAGAAAAGAAGAGGGCATTACATGGATTTGTGCTACCCCAAGAAGTAGTACTTCAGGGCAGTGTTTCAGTGGGTATTCAAGCATTGATTGAATTGTAGCAGCATGACCCCTCTCAGCCAATTGGCACAATACATCCACAAGATCAAGACACAACCATGCATAATTGGACTGTCCAGGTTGAGATTGTAGACCGTGGACTGAATCAACATACACCTACAAGAGAGTACCGTGTCAAAATCTGCAGAATGAGATGCATAAAGCAATAATTACCAGTGTAGCACAGTATATCTCACCAGTTGCCTAATAGAATGTGCAAAGGTAAATAACTCAGGTGGCGCAGAAACTGCATACTTAAGAAAGGAAAGTTGCCCCTCCGAATTCTTCCAAACTGACCCGCAAATAGCATGGAGAGGGAAAGAATCCTGAAAAAATATATCTATGAGATATAACACTACTAACTGTGAAGGTTACATACTCAAGCCAATTTCACGAACTTCCTCTCCATAACATGACTTACCTGACAGGCATGCTTGTAAATGGTCATGAAAAATGTGAAGGCGTTCTCATTAGGAATATAGAATCCTTCATGGTCTAGATTCTCCATAACACCTGCCCAGTTGGTTTCAGGTGCCTGTACAATAACATGCATGCAATACAAGAGCAGCATTAGAACATGATGGGCAATTTTGTACCACAATTCATGAGAACATAGACTTCCTAGACCGGGCCCTCCTTTTACGGATTTATGCAGTTGGAATCAACAAGCTGAGAACTCAAGTAGGGGGGAGGGGGGTTAAGATCGGGATACGAGCATCAAACCATTGATCCACACCTCATCATTAACAAATAGAAAACATTAAAAAAAAAAAATACTGAATAAAAATGAATCACAGGTTTGCTAAATTCAACCCAATAAAGTGAAGTATGTTCTGGTAATTCAAGAGGTTTGCTAAATTCAACCCAAAGAGAAGCTGAATAAAAATCAATCACAGGTTTGCTTAATTCAAGACGCTATTTGTCATTGGACATGGAAGCTTTGCTGTAACCCCCAAAGATATTTGCCCCTTCCAATGGAATTAAAAACGTAAATGATTTCCCCAAAGACCATGCAAAAAGTATATTTTGAGTGACAAGTCAGTCAAAACTTGATTCCCATCATCACAATTCCAAACATTACACAAAAGTATATTTTGAGTGACAAGATTTCATAAAAATATTTAAATATTTGTTATAGGTCATATAATTCAACCCTTCCACTAGAAATGAGAAATTTACAATCCCCACCCCTCCTTCCTAGTAAAAGTTCAAGATACAATTTGATTGTATTACAATAATATTTTCAATGCGTTAGACACTTAGGCTAAGTTTAGTTCACGTTATTATTGCTTACCCTGAACTTATTTTTTCTAATCAGACCTAAAGTAAGTAATAGTCTTAGACCCAAGGAATGATGTGATAAGTTGATAACCCGTAACCCCGCCCCCAAACAGCAAATAATTTTTTTAGTGTTACTGCATGCAACACTCAGGTTATCATTTCTATTTTCTACTTTATTTGTGTGAGGGAGCAATAAGCATAATGCATATTAGATACAGTTTTCAAAACAAAAAAAAAAAAAAAAAAAAAAAAAAAAAAAAAAAAAGACTAAGGGCCTTCACCAGCAACAGCACCACATGAATTTATATGCCTATTTTTAGTGAGGGATACATATAATATAGTTATAGTTCATCATGTTTGCAAAAATTGTTTGCTGTATTTTATTTCTATAAAAGTAAAAGATATCTTTTAGATTAATGAAAAGGGGATTGTGGCTTGAATCTCATTCAGTGCACAGTCTGTGCACTAATTTTGGTATTTGGTAAAAGGCCAAAGTAAAGTACCACAACCAAATTCGTTCATAATTTCAGCATAAGCAGTAGAACAATGATCCTGGACCTAGAGTGTCCTCGTACTCCTTAGAACAGAAAATAAACTCGCCAAATAGCCAAAGCAGCAGACCATAATCTTTCTCCAAATTGGACAGTTAAAATACTTTTTCAGTATGCTCAATCCACATCTAAAGAGAGTATGATATTCATATTTATTCTATACAGCATCCATATGACTCTTGCCAGGCTCTCTGTTTGTTATAATTCTTATAAAGCACTTTTCCAAGCAATCTTTTCAACCAAGCACTTAATGGTAAATTTTCAAATAATTCTCTCTACGCCAATCTCCATGGTAAAGGGGGTCTTAAAACAAAGACTACAAAATGCATCCTGGAAATGGATCCTATGATTGAGCAAACTATAAATTTAAATAAGCAATAAACTATGACCCACAAACTATAAGTAAACAAGAAATTATATGAATGCAATATCATCAAAGGTCATGCATGAATCAAAAAAGATATGAAGGCATTATGAATAACTCACAAGCTGTTTAATTGTCTTGACAAGGATATTGACATCCCAGGAACTGAGATATGGGAGATCAGACAAAGGATTGCTGCCAATTGCCGATAGGAATGATGAGAATGTAGTTGTGTTATCCTCAAGACCAGCATGAGAACGGACAACGATGCCCAGTATCCTAGCAATGCTTGCTTCAGTTAGGGGCATAAAAAGAGACAATATTTCCTTGCATTTTGAGGCACTCATCGTGCATCCATAACCTAGTTCTTTCATGACATCTGCCATACTAATCTCCTTCTCCATTTCAGCAACAATGGTATCAAAGTCATCTACATTAGAATCATAGAATAAATCCATGCTCCTGCAGTCACTATCAACATAAAGAAAATCATAAATTGCCCTCCAAGTAAATAAACATGAGAAAATGAAGACAAAAATGATATAAGATAATGACCTGAGGAACTTGGTATCGTTCAGGTCATCTGGGACCAGGGGAGCCAAAATCAATGGTACACCCTCTTTCAGAGGCATTAAGCTCAACATCTGCGTAAAAGTATCTACATGCTTTGAGAGGCCCTCACATCGATGAAGGAACATGAAAATATTCTGGATTTTTTCAGTTGATTCAATTGTGCTGGGATTGGCAAACAATCCCTCAATCTGAGTCATGCAGAAATTTGTCCCTGCATGCAACAATAATTGCTTTACACGTTTGAAAAAAATATAGCAATTACCAAAAAAAAAAAAAATTATAATATTGAAACAACTAAATTTATCAACAGAAAATGACAGCATACCAATCAATCTAGCATCAGGATTTTCAGACTCCGAGAATGCGAGACCAATGGCGATTTTTTCAGAAAGTGAGAGACCTAAAGCATTTGATAAATCATCGAGGAATCCATCTCTGATTGTGAACTTTCGAAGAGACTGACAGAGAACAGTACTGAAATTTGGTTTATCCAAAATAAATCTAAAAACTGAGGAAATAACTGGGTGCAGATGAACTTTCTTTGCATCTGTCCCATGTATATTCATAAATTCCAACAAGCTCTGCAGGATCAATAAGCTTCCTTCTAAGCCTTGTTCAGTGAACTGTTCCCAAAAAAAAAAATGCATTTCAGCACAAAAAGTATGATCTACAATAGCAACAAATATCAGCAAAAAGCATCCAAGTTCACAGACTTGCCTTCAGCTATTTAACCTACAATACCATGAAGTTGAAAAATGTGTGGGGAAAATATAAAGTATAGAGGAATAACCCAATACTTTAGAGGGCTATATATCACTCACGAGTTTAATTAACCAATCTCACAATAGTTGTAACATCAGATCTTTGAGCAAACACTATCAACATGAATTTCGATTTAGAATTCTAGTATGAAAGTTCAAAGAGAAAAAATATCCCTATTAACCACACATCATCTTTACTCGACTTTAATAACCAATGCCCAAAAGTTAATACTAATTTATGGCGAAAACCACTTTGCAATGTCTAGCTCTAACCTCAATAGATAAAAGTTGAGCTGAACCGTAAACCAACTTACTTTTCTTTATAACTGCAGAATTTCAACCACCATCTTCACATTTTTCAATCTATATATATATATATATACACTCCACTAATTCAGATAAACCCAAACTCCCACTGAAGCTCAATTAATCGCAAAAAACTAAAACCCAAAAATGTGCAAAATCCCTAAATGCAGAAACCACAGTAACAAGCTCAAATCTATCATCGAGAATCAATAAATTCAAAGAGAAGCATCAAAGTCAATCAAATTAAATCATCTAGGGTTTTCTCGGTATCATTCAACACAAAAAAAAAAAAAAAAAAAAAAAAAAAAAAAAATATCCCAAAATTAAAAAACAGCGAATTTACATAGATAGAGTAAAAAAAGACCTGACAAAGCTCTTGAAGCACAGAATCAGAGTTGGATCCATTCAAGCTTTGCAGAAGGAATCGGACATGGCTGGCAACCGTGGCCGAAAATTCCTGCATCGCAGCAGATTGAAGGAGAAATCAAGCGGAGTTCTAGGGTTTCGGGAGGAGAGAGATTTGGGGTGGAATTGCGGGAGAGAGGAAGAGAGAGAGCAGGAGTGAGGGAGAGTCTCGAGTTTCGAGTGTTGGTTGGTGTTTTCTTCAGTTTTTGTTGAATCAACAACGCTATAAAGAAGAGAGAGAATATGAATGTATGAATGAAGGTGTAAAAGGTTTGAGGAATGGATTGTGGGGTGGTTTTAAAGAGGGCACGAGAGTGTGGGTTTAATGGAGTATTTTAGGGATGGCGATTTGGCGATAGTCATGTCGTTTCGCTTTTTATCGCATTGTTGGACCTCGCGATAGCAAGTTTTTTTGGGTTGTGTTTTGAAACTCGAATTTTATTTTAGCGAAAGGTTACTGAATTTTGACTTTGGTTTATGTGTTTGAGGATGAAATTTAGGAGATGATAACCCCCTTTCCTAAGATTGAAACGAATTGGTATAGAATCTCAAATTAAAGAAATATGGATTCAAAATTTGATAATAGTTTAGAGTTGTTTGGTTTATTGTTGGAATGGTTTCTAAATCTCATTTATGAGATGGATTGTGAATATCAAGGGTGAGGTAGGTATGGGATTTAAGAATGTATGGTAGAGTTAGAACCCCTTTGAATGAGGTTGTGTAGTTAAAAATCTAAAAACCTTAACTAAACAATAAATTGGATGGAATGGACTCCTACTCCACTCCGAAACATCCCACCAACAGGAGGCATTCTAAACTGCTGACGGTGAGCCGCGTTTGGGGTGCCTACCAGTAGTGAGAATGTCAATTTGCTTACAAATTTATATAGTATCATTGGCTGCCAAATAATACCATTGGAGTATTAGTAGTACAAAATACACTATCAGTTGCACTTAAAAGAATTCCACTGATTTCCAGTAGTACAAAATATACTCTCAGCAATATAGGTCCTCGTAATTGTTTCTCCCTTTTGTATGTGAATTCATGTTTGACAAGAAACAGTGGAGCCCACACCACATTTTTCACTCTTCCCTTCTCTCTCTTCCTTGTACCTTTAATGTATTTTTTAATAATTGTTAGGCAAGGGTTTCGTTTGTACTTCCTACATCAACTGACCCCATGTAAGCTCTTATATTTACGCTTAGAAAAAATGTAAAAGTAATCGTTGGTTATTGTCAAATGTTGAACAATGATGATTTGAGTATTAACTTGTTGGTCACTCCTACATACCATTACATCAAATTCAACATCTACTTTTACAATAAAAATAGTATCACACATGTGCATTGCCCTGCAATCAGTATATAGTAAGATCACTAAAATGGTGTGGCCATGACATGTTGCTCATAAATATAGGGTTAGAAGCATGGAATATCTTTTGATTAATGGTAACCCAAGTGTGAGTGAAACCTTTCCACATTTGTCAATTGTCATGGATTGATTATTTGCAAAAAGATTAATCTACCTTTTTAATGTTGAAATGAATTAAACAACAAAAAATTACATGCAAAATTCACACTTTTAGAATTATACTGATTAGAAAATGCACTTACTTGAATATGCTACCACGTTATCAATATCTACATTATACACACAAGAACATCATTCACATGTTGCCATATACTAATACACACCCAATTTTATACCCTTTTCACATCCATATAAACACTAGAGCATACTTAGGAGAAGCAAAGAATACAATAAGAGAGTGTTTGTGATGCCGACTGAGCAATCCGTCTTGCATACAATGGACTAGCTTCAATCCCCACATCTGTCAACCACAAAGAAGATAAAACAACCTAAAAAAAGATTATTTTTATATTATATATAGGGGTAACTTTTATAATTTTTTTATATTGTAGTAACTTTTATATTATTGAGAGGAAAAATTAATATTGTCATTACTTTAAACTTAATAACCATAACTTGAGGAGAAATTGCTATAATTTTTTATTTTTTTTTAATTTTTTTTATAGAAATCTTCAATATGATAATGATGACATTTTCAACGATAATTTTAGCAGTAACAAAAATGGGTACAACCTTTACAAAAAAATTCAATATGATGAATTTCTAACCATAAAAATCTTAAATTGGTATGGTTTTGCAACAAATTAATGTAAGTCTGCCTATAAAGAATTTGCAAAGTTTGATTTGCGATAAATTTAGGACTTTGGACAATTGATCAACACAAATTCTTATATATGACTACTTATCATAAGGTTTTTACGTTAGTGTTACAGGGGTTATTTTTTCGTTAATATTATGAAGGTTATTCGGTATGTGTTACATGAGTTACTTTTTTAGTGTTAAGATTTAGTCAGTCAGTATGACAGGAGTTAATAAATCAATGTTCTAGCTTATAAAGGTTATTTTGTTCTTTTTAGGATTGCATGGTGTGGGCAGTAAGCTCGGACGCACACAAAACACACTTACTGTATTAATCAAAGCTGAGTATTATAATTTAAAAAAAAAAAAAAAAAAAAAAAACCGAAGAAAAAAAAGCCAAGAAGACTGAAGAAGTGGTAAACAAATGCAACAAGATTAAACTCAAATTAGCGAAAATGGAACCAGAAGAAGGATCATCTTCATCACCATCAATTGAAAATCCGCCATTAACGAGCAGTGAGATTTACTCAGTAGAGAAAGCATTGAAAAGCCTGGAGCTAAGCAATCCATGGATCCAACAAGCTATTCAACAAGCTTTTCTTGTTCAGGAGACCGTCGAACAATCCTTCGATTCCACCATTGCTGCTACTCGTTCTCGTCTCTCTCAAATCCGTTCCACCTCATCTGCTCATTTCCATCAAACTCTCGTTAGTCTATCTCTCGAATTCTAATTATATGTGTTTATGTGTGGTTTTGTGATTAGGGTTTGTGATGAGATTAGGGTTTGAATGCAGGAGTCAGTTAAGGATTTGAAGGCGGAATATGATGCTTATGAAGCTAAGTTCTTTGGCAAAGTTAAAGGTTTGATTTTTTTGATTGAAATTTTATTGCATGGGTTTAAATTGTGTTTAGGGTTGCTGAATTTTTGGTTGTTTAGTAGTTTAATTTGCTTATTTATGGGTTTGGATGCAGAAGGTGCATTTGTTGCGGCTTCACATCCATTTATTGCTACTGGAGCTGTTACTGGGCTGGGTTTGTTGGCACTGCCAGGTATGCCAAAGTTTGATGTTGGAAAATCGAGTTCTACCTGTGATTATCGGTGTTTTGACGGACCGTTGTTTGTATTGCCGTGGGTTTTTGTAAGCTAGTTTGGATGTGGAATGTGATTGTAATGTTTGGTACTCTTCAAGTTGTTTTCATGGCTAGGATATTGAATCACGGGACAGAGATTTTATGTTTTGTCTGATGGCTATGTTATTACGACTGTTGATATGATAGTTAATACGTGGTCAAATTACAAATGCCGATAAAGGATGCTTTACTTACTCCTTTCCTGAAGCAATATTGTGAATCAGAGATGCTCTAGTGTTCTGATATTACTTTATAATATAAATTGCATCAAACTTCTTTGACATATGTGGAATATGAGTAAAACAAAGTAGACAATATAGGATTTTCAGATGGACTTAATAGTAGAGCATTAATCAGTGGCGAATACGAAGTAATATGCTTTTAGCTGAATTTCTTAATAGTTTCATTCGGGAGTCTATTTTAGGATTTTGTTTCTATGTTAGAATGTGAGGTTTTGGGGAATAAAACTTGTGGTCTGCTTGTATAGTAGAGGACTTAGCCCTCTTATCGTTCACTTTGTGTCTTTATCTTCTTAGGCTTAAGATTCACAAATCACAATATTCAGTGGTTTATCTCTGTTTGTGCTCTGTAGTGAAGTACTGGAATATGTTCTTAACAATGCTTCATAGAACAAATTTTTGGTGATAGAGTTATTTTGTTGAGAAGATAAATGGTTGACATATAGATGAAGGCAGGTTCAGTCTACTGGGAGTCCATATATGGTGGTTGTGACTTGTGAGAAGAGAGATATATATTGGCTTGAATTCTAATGGCTTTAATGTTTTACCCATTATTTTTGGTGGAAGATAGAGGTGGACTGCATCATGAGTTTTATGAAATTATGCAGAAGATAGAATTTACAGCGGTGAATGTTATGGCAGGCAGTTTGACATTGGTTGTATTCCCTCAAGACTAAAATCAAGAATTACAGACATTATTACATAGCAGAGTGCCCAAGTGTTTGAGTGAGTGCTTGATGGAGAGGTTATGGCATTATGTGATTTAATAGCAAATTGATATAATGACCATGAATTCTAGACATTACCTAGCAAGGTCCTTCTGTTTTCAAATTCATCAGTTAATTCAGGGCAGAGAGTGCAAAGGTTTTTTAGTGAGTGCTTGATGGAGGGGTAATGACAATATGTGATTTTAGGTTGTGCGAGCAAAATAACAAACGAGTAGCTAATTGGGTGGCAGTCATTGATCTTTGGGTTTAGATGGACTTGTTTTACTTCCCATGGCCATTACCTAGTGACTTGCAAGATAGAAGGCTAGTCCAGATTTATCTATTATCAAAACATCATCAAATTCACTAGGTAATGCCCAATTGCCCATTGAAAGGAAAACTAAAAAGAATTTTGGCATTGGAGGATAAGAGGTCATTGTAAGGTAGCAAGATGATAAATGTTAGTGTGATACTGTGATACCTCTTCTTATATTTATCTATACATGGAGAAGAATGTTGATTGTACTGAAGAGGGTAGTTGAGACATCATCCTTAGAGTGGGAATATATGTTACTATACTATAAAGCTGATGGAGGTGGTATGTTCTCAGGGATTAATTAATGTTAAACTGAAATGGTGGATAAGACAATGAGCTCTGGATACTACTCCCTCCGTTTATTTTTATTTGCAACTTTGGCAGAAGTTGCGGTTCACGAGGCAAAAGATTGAAGGGCAAAGATTAAGAAAGTATAATGGTGATTAATATATCATAGGAGTATGTAATTAAGGTGGAGAGAGAATGTTTGGATAATTAATCAAACCACCCACTGCCACCACCAAGACCAGCCACCACCACCGCCGCCTTCACCAACACCACCGCCGGCTTCACCACCACCGCTACCACCCCCACGAAACCACCACCACAACCAACCCCACGAAACCACCACCACCCTCACGTCATTCCCTCCTTTTTCCGGCAGCCCCCTCCCAAACCAAAAAACCCAGAAATCTTTCATTAACCGATTTCTTCATTCTCCGGCAACACCACCCACTCTACGGCAACCCCCCACCACGCAATCATCAACACCGATCATTACTAATAAGCTAAGAATCTCAGCAATCTGACTAAATGAAGAAATCGTGGCCTCAAATTGAAATAATTGAGCAAAGGGTTATCGATTTGGGCTAAAATTGGAGCTTGCGGCTCTGGATTATGGGATAGCGGCGTTGCTCAGTAGCGCGGCGGTGTGGTGCTGCTCGGTGCAGAGTGGTGCGACGGTGGCTGGTTGATTTTGTGCGATTATTGGTGTTGGGCTGCCGGCCGATTGTTTCTGTTGGTGTGCGGCAGTCTGGTGGTGGTTGTTGCCGGCTGCTATGGCCGAACAGGGGTGAGATGGGGCTGCTGTGGTCAGTGTTGTGGGATGGTGATTTGAGGTTTAATTGGTGGTAGTGGAAGATGCGGCTGGCGATGTTGGCGGCTACTGTTGGTGGTAGGGAGGAGGGTGAAAGAGATGAAGAGCAGAGATGAAGAGGGTGAATGGGTGGTGGGTAGATTAGGAGATGAGTAAATGGATGGGTAAAATTAGGTTAATGATTTTAGATTAGACAAAAAAGTTATTGTGATTAAAATGAGATAAGGGTAACATTAAGAAAATCTGAATTTTTAAGTAAGGGTAAAATAGTAATTTTCAGGGTTTTTGTTTACCCAAAATGGAAATAAAATAGAAAGTTGCACATAATTGTGAGCGGACTAAAATGGCAAAAGTTGCAAATAAAAATAAACGGAGGGAGTATTTATTTTCTAATCAGAACTGTTCGAAGTACTTGGTGAGAGGGATATTGATCTTGCTTGATTTTTATAGCATGTAAGGAGGTGTTAACGTTGATGGAAAAAAAAAGAGGCATTAGGTTATTGTTTAAAATTTAACTTTGAAACACTTGGAAATCTTGGGAAGTGACAAGGTCTTGTGGCTAGATTGATTAGGTGGGTTAAGATTTGCAATATGCTACTTGTTTATTGGCAGCTTAGGGACTGCTTGGCGTCACTGCAAAATTTTGAGTTTGGACTACCATCTATGGTACCTGAACTAGTTATGTTAATTTTGAAAGTTGACAACAAAATCTATGTTTACTAATGTTTAACTTTCATCTAGTCAAATATCTGAACATTCAGTACCCGCAACAATATTGAACAAGCCTTTAGGAGCTGGTTTGATGCTTTCAGAGTGATTTAGTACTTTGAGAGTCTTGGGAAGAAGGAACCACTTGATCCTTTCCTGTAAAGTTTTTGTTATGTTAGTTCTGACTGTTAAGCTGATGAAGATAGTCTAATTGAGGCTTTGAGTGGGTAGAGATGAGGTGTGTTTATTTTGCACTTATAATTTCTAGATGATTGTTTTCCATTTTTGGGCTGTTAATGTGAAAAAGTCTACGAAAAAGTCTATGATCATGTTTGAACGTCCAGTTGTTATGATATGTTCTATGTTTCTTGCTTTGGATTTATGGAAGGAAATGATAGTATTGCGGCAACCTTGAATCTAGTACTTCTTAGGGGTTCTTCTTTAGGTGCTTGTTTGATTCATGATCTGCCTCTTGGAGATTGAGTATACTGAAAATGCTTGAGATCTAATAGTAGAAAGGGTGTATTAAGAGGTTAAATGATTTAAATAAGGAGTCCTGTGTTTCAATCACTTTTATTTCTCATATATGTGGACGGTTTCTGATTTGGAATTTAGAAAACTTAACGTGATAGCTTCCAGAAGTTAAAGCCAAACCCTTTTCTGTTTGTTATTTTATTCTTATTACGAAGTATTAATTACTGTGCGTACTATCTATAGAGCCATTTTAAAAAAAAAAAATATTTTACTGATGGTCAGGAATTGGGCAAGAAAAGACCACACAACTCTTTTTAAAGAAATGAGTGAGGTATCATTTTGGGTGGACAAGTGTCCTAAATCTCAGCTGGTTGGCTGCCTTTTATCCCGAAAAGAGTTGAGCGATAGTTCCTTTTGAGATAGAATTTATAATGACCAGAAGTGATCTCACGTGAAATTTAATCTTTTGTTTACATCTAATATATGATGTACACATGTATGTGTTTCAAGCATTAATGATTTTATAAACCTTTTTTGAATTCTTTCACACTATATATGGCATGATTTAGTCCTGACTGAATTTTTCTGTAGTAATTCGTATATTGCTTGAATCAAATAGTAGCAAGACCTGGACTGGTAGTGTGACATAATACAATGTATCTAACTAGTGAACTACACATCTATTAAAAAAAAAAAAAGCTATTGAACTACACATGTTCCGAGGTCCAGATAGTTGCAATGTATTCCCATAACTTGCTACATCTATACATATGGCTGCTTTTACCTAAGCTACATTACATACTTAGATATGTTTTCAGATTAAGGGTTTTCTTCTTGTTTATTTCTGGCCAATATAACTTTGAGCATGCTTCTTGCAGCTCCAAGACGTTTTTTGTACTATAAAACCTTGCGGCTATTTTCTACTGAAGAGGTGAGCATTTGTATAAAGTAGGATTTGTTTACTGATATTTTACTACTACTTCATAGTTTGCATAGGTTCTATGTTCATCAATTTTATTAATGTTGCTCAGGTGAATTTTTCGCTGTACGAGCCTGGTAGTCACTGCAGACTTTTACTTCATTCCCCGATGAACAATGTTTGCCCAATGTTACTTTGTGCAAACATTGATCTCTTCACTTTTACTTCCCCAAATAGTGCTTGCATCATTGTGTTTCTTTCCATGGCTTTGTTAGTCGTATAAACCAAAATTTTAGTTCTTAATGAATATTGAAACTAGTGGCGTAATTAAACGTCACGGCTTTGTTTTATTTGTACTTTTGTTTGCTAGGTGCTGGGTAATCATGGGGTAGGCACTCTAGGAAGCTTTTTAAGCACTCTAGCATCCTTAGATTATTTTGTCCTGCGAGAGGAAGGACTCTTGATGTATTTGCACACTGTAATTGTGTGCAGGCCTTGATATCTCGTGCTGATGAAAAAGTGAAAGAGCTGAAGCAATCATTTGAACGCTTGAAAGCTGCAACTGAAAAGCTAGAGGTAACATTTTGTGTTTTCTTCCTTGTATTTTTTGTTTGGGTTGCGGTCTCGTAAAAGAAACTTTGGGGAAGCTGAAGGTGTTATAAACAACAACCAAGCTGAAGATGCTTTTTATATGATTAGTTAGGGGTGAAATTGCGCACCTGTAGACCCCCCGAAACTCTTTACTGATAGTTAAAATTCTGGGTTGTTAAGTTGAGTTGAAGCTTTATCTTTCTTGCCTTCCAAAGAATGGTTGCATCACAAACTTTTTCATTTGTAAGAAAAATTTCCTTTGAGAGGGTTTGCTGTGCAGGTCACTCTGAATCATTTACACATGTGTATATTGGAGCAGGTTATGTGTTTTAGGAAACTGGATATCAAAGGGGTGTCAAATCTGTGAATACCTTCTTAGATGTAAACTGACATGGGAAAAGCATTGCTTATCTCCATTCAATGTTAATTTTTTTGTTAAATTTCTCAGTATAGTGTGTGTATTTTCAGAAAAGAGCATCACAGGCAGAGGAGGAGATGCAAAGAGGAAGAACTAAACTGAGGTTTGTTTATTGTGTTGCTACTTGAGTGCTGTGGTTTTGTGTGATCACCTCATTATATTTTGTAAATTATAATTACAAATCTTGTGACAGAAATGCAGGAAATCAGATTAGAAAAGCTGTTAATTCTGCTGATAAGATCGAGAAACAAGCACGAGGTATGGGAGAATATTTCCAGCCTCACCTGAATATTTTTACCAGCTTTTTTTCCGAGTCTGATATATTTGTTTATGGCTCTTACAGGCTTGAAGGATATCCTTGCAGACCTTCCTAGCAGGGAATCATCTCGATTTAATTCACAGGTTTGTTTTATAATTTCAAACACATCAGCTATAGTTGGTGTAATCATAAATTTAAGTATATTACTTATTCGTTCAACTGTGTAAATTTTGCAGATCAAAAACTTAGTTGCTGAGGCAAAACAGGAGCGAAAAGTACTCGCAAAGGAAGTGACAAAGATAAGCAATTATGGGATCTCCATATGAGAGAGCTCTTATTGGGCTGTGTATCTGACTGCGTGTGAATAATTGATGGCAGGAATTGAGTGACTGAGATAGATCAAAACCTCCAGTTTCCTGCTTCCTTCACCCTATACTTGGAAAGTAAACTCAGTTGATTACCGAAATTTTGTCTCACAGAAAATTGTACCAATTGTACATCTGAAGATCAGGATTTGCTTAGAAATATTTCTTACAGCAGATATATTCTTTTGATTCTGCTAATGTTGCAACTCTCTGCGGACAATGTGCAATCAAAATATTATGCATTGACATTTTGTCCTGCCAGAATTTCCTGTGTCCTTACATGGTGCATACAAGTTTCCAAACTTCTTTGAAGACTAATCTATTTAGATAACATGTTTTCTAACACCTAATAAAATTATCAAAAGGTGAGTTTTTCTTTCACTCATGATCCCACATCAATTTTTACTCAATTAAAAGAATAATATTGCTACTCTGTAATGGATAGCAAAGTTGTTCCTAAAAAAATTAATCCCTGAATTCTATAAATAAGTCAATAACCTAATAATTCCCAATATTTGATCATGAGTGCCAAATTCTTTTTAGTTTAGTTATTTGAATAGTAATGATCAGTTATAACATTAATGGTTTAGTATTTGTAATTCGTATAATTTCTTAGGCCGCAATTACTGAACAGTAAAATTAATACTCGCGCAATTACTGAACACTAAAATTAATACTTGTGTAATTACTAAACACTAAAATTAGTATTCCATATGAGAGAGTACATTCGAAAAAGAGAGAGAGAGAGAGAGAGAGGACGGCCATAACTTCTCTTCCCTCTTATCATCTTATGGCCTCAACAATGGCCACAATACTCCATTTCCCCGCCAATTTTCACCCTTCTTCCTCCCTAAAACCCTTCCTAAACCCTAATCAATCAAATCCCTCAATTCCCTCCAAATCCCCTAAATTCTCTCTCTTCTCATCACAATCTCTCTCCGCCAAAACCCACCTCCTTAACCTAATTTCCGATCAAGATCGCGGTCTTAAAACCCAGCAAAACCCTAATCTCCGATCCCAAATTATCGCCGCTATCGATTCCCTCGCTATTCTGGGCAAAGATTTGATCACAACTGATGATTCCCTTTCTGGGACTTGGCGAATGCTTTGGACTACAGAAAAAGAGCAACTTTTTATTATTAAAAATGCCAATTTTTTTGGTACCCAAGTTGGGGACGTTCTTCAAGTTATTGATGTTGATAATCTTAAGCTCAATAATGTAATTACTTTTCCTCCATCTGGGGTTTTCTTCGTTCGATCGAGTATGGAGGTTGCTTCCACTCAAAGAGTTAATTTTAGGTAATTTCATTGTCTTACCTCCTATTTTTGTTTGGGTTTTCTTAAGTATTGCTTTAAATCACATTTCCCTCACTTTAGTTAGTTAGATGTTTCATGTTTTTGTAATTTTTTTTAAAAGATGACTAGACTTTAAAAGAAAGAAATAGAAGGGAGGAGTCATAAATTTTGTAAAGGGAGCCGCAAAGAGCACTGATGTACGATATGAACTCGTAAGACTTTAACCAACTAAACTAATCGGCCTCCACAAATGTAACGAAATGCATTCATGTTTTTAAATATCTTTCCATCCTGAATTGAGAAGAAAGGAAGGGGGAGGGGGGAAGATCTATGAGTAGTCTTTCTTGTTAATTTTGTATTCCTAACCAGTCCTGTGCAATATACATTATAGAAATTATACACTTTTGTAATGTTTGTGTGACATGGGTTTTCTCAGATTTACAAGTGCAGTATTGCGAGGAAAGGATTGGGAGTTTCCTTTACCACCATTTGGGCAGGGATGGTAAGTGTAACTTTTGTTCATGATGAACTTATATATAGCTGTTGAGCATTCTCATTTTCAGGGGATGCTTATTAGAAATTTTATGATATGAATTGTAGCATTCCATTGTATGTGCATGATGCTCATACAGTCATACCTTATGTAATACAGTAAGATTTTGTTGAGTGTTGGATTTTAACTGTTTGAAGGAAATTATATTGGGATTCGAGGCTGTCAATCATCTATAGTTGAGTCTGTCAAGAGTTGTTGATTCAAGCTACTTGCTTCATTAACTAGATTATTTATAATTACCTTCTGATACTATTGTATGGCTCAATGGCTGCATTTCTCAACCAATAAGCCTATTGTTTTCACTCTTTTCAGGCAACACGTTGCCCTTGTTCATCCTATTTAAACAAGTTACAAAAGTTGTCCTCCATTATGATGTCTTGGCCAGTGATATTCCAGTTTCTATTCTTATATCTTGTATGATTTCTAAATGAATTAAAGCTATAGATCAGATATACTTATGTGTCTTCAAATATCACTATATCAGTGCCGCTTTATTGCAATTGAAATAGGCTTCACCCTATAGGATTACAACAAATGTGATCGATGAGCTGCGATGTTTATTGCGATGGCACTGTTTGGTAACTTTGTAAGGTCCTAAATTAATCGGGAAAAGTATCTGCAAAGTGGCTTTAGTGAAGTTCTGATCCCACCTATAAATTCTTCTTGTATTTTTGTTCTCTGGCATCCCACTGTTAATTGCCTTAGTGATATACTCCGTACTACTGTTTAGAGCGCTTTTAGATGTGTATTGGCAGGTTTCCTCATTGCCCTTTTTTCATACAGAGTGGGGGAGAGAGAGATAGGTTGATGGACATACTGTTGATTAATTGGATCTGTTGACAACAGATTTTGAGGAGGAAATTTGTCTATCTTATTTGTATCTTCTTTTTTTTTTGTTCCTTTTCTCTAAGATATTGCATTTTCTTTACTCATGAATAACACATACATAGGATTTCTACATTTTTTTTTTATTGAACTAGGAATAGGGGAAGTATACTCATAGACTTCTTCAAGTAGGTGTAAACTGTAACGAGGAATCTTATCATAGTGAGGAAGGTCAGAATTTATTTTTTAAGATTAAGGAATACTGAAATTACTGTATCTTGAGAACATTTCTTTTCTGCTGGCTGTAGATTCTGTTATACAACTATTGATGTGTAAGTGCTTCACTGACAGCCTGAAGCTAATTTGTAGTTCTGAGATGATTTTGCTGAAAGCTCCTAAAGACTTTGAATGATCTTTAAGAATACAAGACGACACAGATTTCAGAAGTCAGTTGAATACTGACACTATGTTTAGATCACAATTATAGATGAAAGGGAAGGGGAGGAAAGGTAAAATAATATGGGGTGGGCTGCAGAAGAAGGAGAAGAATTTACTCTTCTACTTAAAAGACACAAAAGATGATTAACATGAAGGGTAGGAATGTACCTTCTGTCCAGATCTTTTCGACTTTGGAAGGTTTTGGTTTATTTAGAAGGAAAGAAAATGTATATTGTTCTATTCCCTTCCCTTCCCTTTCCCTCCCTTTTCCTAACCTAACTTCCAAACGAGGGAAAAATGGGTGTTTTAGTGTTCTTTCGTTCAGATTCCTCATCTGAATATAGTTTTTTGAAGTGACTAAAATTTTCTTAGAAAGATGGATAACTAGGTCTGTAGATTGTCCAACCAGACAATATTGTCTTAGGTTAGTAAGTCACAAACTACCTTTTATCTTCTAGGACATTTTGGAGTGACTTCGTCAATTTTCCTTCTTACATCTTATGGTATCTTTAAGCCTTCATTAAGATTCCCTCATCTAAACATATTTTAAATAGTTTTAAAGTGACTAATGTGTTCTTAGAAAGATGGATAACCTGGTCTGTTGATTCTCCAACCAGACAATTTTGTCTTAGTTTATAAGCTACAGAGTACCTTTTATCTTCTAGGACCTTTTGAAGTGACTTTTACCAATTTTCCTTCTTACATCTTATGGCATCTTTAACTCTTTAAGCCTTCACTGTATGCTTTAATGCAAATTAAAGATAAAGTCATAAAGGCATGTTTAATTTTCAAGAACTACTATCAGAGAAATTTTGTTTTACCTTTTGGAGTACATACAGTTATTCTACATAATTGGTTTTATACTTATATCAATTTGTCTTCCAGGTTTGAATCTGTTTATTTGGATGATGACATCCGAGTTGCCAAGGATATACGAGGAGATTACTTAGTTGTTGATCGAGCTCCTTATGAGTGGAAAGAATAGAGGTCCAAAAACACTAAATTGGCGGCTTGGCGTGGTTTCATTCCATGCTGCATGACTTCTTGTAATCCTTACTACTCTGCTTTACTGTAAGTTTGTAATTCTTCTAGGAAAGGAATTCTGTAAATAATGTAAATTTAATTATTTCAAGTACTGATGAAGTGAAATGGTTAGCATATCAGCTGGAGCTTCACTTGAGCTAGATTTCACTTTCAACTGAGGTATCACAGATCTAGCAGAGATCCTTTAATTCCATTCTGTATACCATCATATCTCAATACTTTTCCTTTTGTCATGTTGGCTAGTTAAAAGGTTCAAGGACTGGTAACGTATTATGACGGCTTCATTATGCTCATACTCTTTGAAATGTAATGATGATGATGGTAAACTGAATGGGATAAGGGATCATTTAACATAAAATCGACCTTACTTAGCTCTTGAATTTTGGTAGGGGTGGGGAAGAGGGGACCATAAGGTGGATGTTTGTGTTAACTTTGTGGACTCTTAGACTTGAGAAAAAAGTTCTAATCAGGTTGTGGTGGAACCCTAGTCCGTCGGCAGCCATATGTGCAATTTATACAGGTTATGAGTGAATTTTCCTGAGACATCGCTTGTCAGATCTGATTCTGAGGTCCCTCCTCTAGTTACTGTCAGCATCCTGATAGAACCTCTACAGTATAACGCTATTCAGACAATCTACAATGTCATGGTTATGGTGACATTATTTGTATAGTTAGTATATGCTTTGGTGGTTAGTCATATTTGCATGAAAAAGGTGTGGGGAAATAAGGACCCAGACAACAACAACAACAAGCTTTCTTCTTCTTCTTTTTTTTTTTTTTTTTTTTTTTTTTTTTTCCTTTTTCTTGGTGTAATATGGCCTGCAGTATAAATCATTTTCCCCACCACTTCCAAAGCTATTGGGCGGGGGGTTGCTTAATGCCTATGTTTTAGTGTGCATGTGCTGTGGGAGTCATGGTGATTGAGCAGGCATTTGGGGGCCAGGGATCTTACGTGGTTGTCAATCTTGTTTGGCTTGTTTACTGTCGTTTTAAGGTTATGTTTGTAGGTACGTGTACTGCACTATTACATTAGTATTTACAACTGGCGAGTGATATTGTCCATATGATATCTAAATATAGCGGGTTTAAAGAACGTTTATATAGTGTT